TTTCTTTATAGGGAAACAAAAGGGAAGGCGCGAATTATAAGAAGGAGGAAGAAGAAGGATAGGAAGGGACGACCTGGGGGGGGGGGGGGGGGGGTTTATACCCTACGTATATAAGTTTATTTCGAAGAGAATAAATACTATAGGATATTAATTAGGTTAGACCTTCCCTATAGAAAAATATTACATTTTAATTGAAGGTTTATATAGGGCGTTTTAAATATTTAATAAAAGTATCCTTATTATCTTTATAATTATTTATTTTTTATATTTATTAATTATACTAATGTAATAAATATTTAATAATTATAATTATTATAGTATCTCCAGTTATATAAAGGTAGGATTAGCCATATATAGGGAGGGTTCTATAAGGGTAGCCCTATAGACGTATAAATATTATTATTTACTTTAGGTTTTTATATAAATTTATAATTGTATATAATATATTACCTAGCGAAAGTAAATTGTTTATAGGAAGTATATAACTTGCGTTAGTGATTAGGATAAATATTTCCTGCTCTTAAAATTTGCCTTCCTTTATTAATTAAAATAACTTCATTTATATTTCGGCATTTTCTTTTTATATTTTAGTATTTACAATGTCCGCTTCTATTCGCTTTGTAAATATATTTTCAAATTCGGTAGTACGTATTAATTCTTTATTTCTCTTTTTGGCTTATATTTCTCTTACCGTTTAAATTAATATTTATAGCCGTAGGGTAAGTATTTAGGGTAATTAATATCTAGTATATATATTAAATGTTTAGGGACGTTTTATTAACTTATCTAAGAAATGCATAAAATTAATTTTAAAGTAGTAATATTAAAAAATATAATTTCTACGAAGGGTTAATAATTGTTAAAAGCTCGAAATAAAAATACAATTGAGGAATTATTAAAAATTAACCCTATTATATTTTATAGAATAGAAATAGAGGGGGTAATTAAAAGATAAGGAGGGGTTATTAAGTTAAAGAAGATCGATACCTTTTTAATTGCTTTTTCCGTTATAAACGTATTATCCTTCTTCTATTTATTTATATTAAATTAACCGTGAATATATTGGATAAATTATTAATTTATTATTAACTTATTATGTATCTTCGTTATATTACAATTTAATCGATCTATTAGCGAATTAATTCGATACTTAAATTTAATACTATATTTTGCTTAAATATCTTCATACACTATAAGTTAGCGATCGAATCTTATATTCCTATTAATATATTAATTACGATATATAAATAATAGATTTCTAATATATTAGTAATATATTTTAATTAATAATTTACCTATAAATATAAGAAAGTAATAATACGAACCGTTCGTTCTAATAGTAGGATTACTTGTATAATATCTCGACCGTATTAATATTTAGTCGAACTATATTCTATATTTTTTTATTTTTTGTTAGAACAAGTATAAATATATTTAGTGCGAACCGTTGGAATGATTTTATTCTTCGCTTAATTCCGAACTTCCTTTCGCAAATTATTTAGAGAATAATTAATTAAATATATAATTAGAAAAATAAAAATAAATAATTATTAATTTATATATTAAATATTGGTAAAATTATATATATTTATTAAGGGTTTAATAAGTAAATAACCCTTCTATGTACGAGCGAAATTTCAATTTATTTTTTATATACCTTTTAATACTACGTTTAAAGTAGATATGGTAAAATTGTACTATGTAGTAAGTAAAGTATATAGCCCTACGGGAGTAGGGATTAGTTTTAGATATATATGCTGAAAAACCTATATTAATTAATAAGAGGGTAAATAGTAATATATTATAAAGATTTTAGAATTCAATAACGTACTTATAATTACTTCGAAGTCTTAATTTATAATAATACTATAAAGACCCTCTCCAAATAATTTACGCTATTGAACCGTATATTTATAATCCTTTTCGAAGATTTTAAATACTATTTTAAAGGTAAGTACGTATATTTTCGCTGAGTCGGTATTAGTAAAGATCCGGATAAGAAGGATAATTATTAAAATTAGAAATATATTAACGATAAATCTAGAATAATTTAATAATTTATATCGTTTTATTTATTGTAAGTAAAAGCTTTAAATAACCTCCCTATTTTATCCACTAGAAAGATACTTATAATTTATATTTAATTTGAAGGATTTAATAAAGCCTTTACGAAAGAATTCTACTTATTCTTTAAAAAAATTAATAATTATAAAATTAGTCCTATTACTAAGAATTCTCTAAATATATTATAGGAGAAAGTTAATAATTCATTTTTAAAAATACCGGACGTATAAATTTATACGAAAGTTTAAATTTTAGTATTTTAATTAATATTCTTATATTATAGTTTTAAGGCTCGAAGTCCTTAAAGGTTAGTAAAGAGCGCGATACATTTTAATTACTAAGTAAACTTTATTAATATTATTTAAATTCGGATAATCCTAGTTAATAGTATTAGTACTATATTTATTAAAGAATTGAATAAAGTAGGAGTTGCTGGTTAAATTCATTAAGTTTTCAATTAATAATTAGCTTATCTTTAATTTATCGGTAATATATTCTAAATTAATTTATTTTAAATTTTACTAAGGTTATTAACTCTTTTTAATACCCGTATTAAATTATCGATAATCTGCTTAGGGGTTTTATCAGGTAGTAGGGGTAGGTAGTAATATTGATTATAGGAAGTTATAACGATATATAGGATAGTTTTGGTATCGATAGGAATATAATAATTAAGGGTAATATTGTAAAATCGAATCGTTATAGTATTATAGCCTTAAGGGTAATCGGTCTCTAATTTACTAATAATAAATTATAAATAGTCCTAGATATATTAAATAAAAGTTTATTTACTATAGCGCGACTTTTTTAATAATTTAAATTCTACTTCAGTATATATTTCAATTCGCAATGAATTAAATGTAGTATATTTCGAATAGCTTTTAATAATTAATTTAATATGTAATTAATATTAATAGAGATTATTAGGGACAAAATAGAAAAATTATATATACTTTCTAATTTTCGAATTCTAATATTTTAAATAATAGTAATTATAGTTGATTAATATTTTAATAGGTATAAGTATTAAATATAACGCGGATTTATTAGGGATATATTGTAAATAAATATTTATTTTCAACATATACTAAACGAATTTATACAACGCCCTTATTTCTTTACGATTATATATTTCCTAACGCTTCCTAATTGCCTATACCTAATTAATTATTAAAATAATATTAGTCGAAGATAATTATTTTGGATTAAATTAAAGTAATATAGAAAGTAGCTTGGGAATAATGAATTAGGGATAAATCAAGGATAGGTCCGGATTTAATAATTTACTTAATTAATAGGACCTTATTGTATCGGAGGCGGATTTTAAATAAAAGGTTCATAACCTCCTTATTAATTGCGGGGGTAGAACCTTATTAATAAGTTTATAAAATTCACAGGTCTAAATATTTATAGTATTTAATATTATTGTATTTAAAAGTAAAACGACGGTATATAGTATTATTTAAGTAACTCGACGAAATATTCTTAGTAAATATTTTCCATTGGATATAGTATTGGATTTATAATATCGTAGATTAATTAGTAGAATTATCTATAAAAATATTTATTTAATAATAACTTCTTTATATATTTCTTACTATAAAGCTTCAATTTAGGCTTTATTCAAATTTTTAATATATAAGACGTAAGCTACGCTATCAACGGAAAATTCAAGGTATTTAAAAATCATTATAATATAATATATTATTTAAATAAAAGTAGAGTAATAATTAATATTATCGGATAAAATAAATATCATACCTATAAGTTCGACTTTTAAATAATTAATGTATTATATTATTAATTTATAAAAAATATAATTACAATCGGATAGTATTATATCTATCTACTTATTAGGAAATCGGTTAGTATCGATATATTAGGAGGGGTTGTATCCTTCAATTCTTCTAACTTATCGAATTCGGCCGCTATATTATTTATTTATTCTAAGTCAAATATTATTAATAGCTCAATAAAGATTATATTATTCTACTTAATGAAACTAAGTTTAGCAATAATAGCCAAAGTATCAGCATTGGGAATATTATTATTAGCCATTTTGTAAAAATAATTTAGGGATATATTAGAAATAATTTAAGGATATATTAGAAATAATTTACAGGCTATTCGTATATAACGAAGAGATATTGGTCGCGTTGAGTTTATAATTATTTTTGGATATACGATCGTTAATATTTAAGAAGAGTATTTAAAAACGCGAGTAATATTGTTTCTCTATAGAAAATTTCGAGCAAGCGATTCATTATTTCTCTATGGGGAAAGAAAATATTAAGGGGGCGAGGGTCGGATGAGAGATTTTTCATAGTATAGGGTCAGTCTTAGCGTATCTACTTAGGTTAGGAAGCTTTAGTAATGGGGTCGGGTCATGTGAGTACTCGTGTTCAAGGTGGTAGAAGTGGAGTAAAGAAGTGGTCGTTGTGCGTGAGTTCGAAGTGTATTCTCCACCTTAGCAGTGAAATAGCCTCCAAGGCCAATCAATTCCCCTGTTTCCTCCCCCTGCTAAGTATCACGCTAACAAACTTTCCAGTATTGGACTGTATTGACTTGGCACTAGCCCCTAAAGAGTCACTAAGTCGCCTGAAAAGGGAAACAGAGCGGCCGCCTAGAATGGTAGACAAGAGGTGGTCCGGAAGTAAGCATCCACGACATCAACAGATATTGTGTCTCTGGTAAGCATCCGTTTACGTGTCGGTGTCGATTTCAGCTCGTCAACATGGGCTCCTCTCAGCTTTGCTCTTCGCAAGATATATTTTTCCAGGTCCAAGCCGTCATCAAGTCCCAAAACCACGACCGGACGAGGTTACTGAGCCCCAAACTTGACTCCATTCTCTACAAATGGTCTGAGACACTCGCACTTCCTCACAGACTTTAACCAGGAAACGACAAAACAAATGCACCAAAGGTATCATTAACTCGCCATCAATCACGCATTAACAAACTTTTCTACAATCCCGCCTCTCAAGCCTTGGTCTCCTTCCCCTCATGACTCTCCGTCTCCTCAAGCGACATCTTCTTCCCACCGTGACTCTGCAGATCAAAAGGGTCAACCTTGGCCTTTGCAAACTTCCTCGCCGCAACCTTTTTCTCAAACAAGATATCCAACTCAGCATACGTCCTCCCCTTCGGCTCCGGCAGTCTAAAGAACACCCAAATCGCCGACAACAAGCAGCTGCCCGCCCAAAAGAACGCCGTCCTGGCGCCCCAGTTCCACGCCGTCGAGCTCAGCTGGTAATTCGTCATGACATTGACAAAGATGTTGCTAGCATTGTACGCCGCACGAGCAAGCACAATGGTCTTGGCCTTTAGACGGGTCGACGACAGCTCCGAAATGAGACAGTACGTCACAGGTCCAACGGCGAAGTCATAGACGAACGTGAAAGCGATGAGGACGCCACCGATGGCCCACACGGAGGCTTTGTTCCCGCCGAAGGAGAGACCACCGACGATGATGAGGAGACAGAACTGTGCGCAGACACCGCTGAAGTAGATCCGTCGCCGGCCGACGCGCGACATGAGGAACCAAGAGCCAGCGGTGCCGACCATTCCAAGGGCGTACTGGCCCATGGAGAGCGAAAACGAGTTGCTCGGGTCCATGCCCGCTTGCGTGAGGAAGTAAGAGAAGTAGCCCATGAGGTTCTGGCCGCCGAGCGTTTGCACAAGCCAGATGCCCACGACGATCTCCGTACGGCGGAGATCAATACCCCTGAAGCAGTCACGGAAGGTAACACCCTCCTTCAGCTGCTTCTCGAGCTCATTGGTATGCTCGATCATAGCCAGCGTCTCATCCACATTGAACCCAGGCTGGTTCCTTGACGTCAAACGGAGCAGCGACTGCTTAGCCTCCTCCCGCTTGTTATGTCTGACGTACCACCAAGGCGACTCGGGCGCAAAGACGAGGCCGGCCAGGATGGGAATCGGCCACACCCACTGCACTCCAAAGGGGATACGGTACGCCCACTGATCGGTCCGGCCCACGGAGCCCTTGTTGACGGCGGCGGCGAAGAACTGGCCAATTACCCAGCACATGTTGATGAAGGTGGTCAGGTACGGGCGAAGCACCAGCGGCGCAACCTCGGAGGCGTAGGCGGGTGTAACGCTCTGGAAGGCACCCCAGGGAATACCTGTTTTGGTTCGGACAGAGTTAGCATACAACTTCAACCTTCCAGTTTATGTAAGTCTACCTTAGTGACCCTTGAGAAGAAACAGTATATGCACAGTCAAACAAGAAACGGCATAACTCACCACAAAGAACCTCCCCCACCACCAAAACCTTCACATCCGGCGCAAAAAACAACACAAAAACAAACCCAATCATCAACACCAGACTCGCAATCGTCGTCTTCTTATACCCAATCCGATCAGCTGCCCAACCCGCAAAGATCAGTCCAAAGATCTCTCCCGCTCTTGCTCCGTTGGATAAACCCGACTGCCAAGCGGCTGACACAGCGTACTTGCCCGTGGCCGGGTTTGTGAGCTCCCCAAACTTCTTGTTGAAGACAGGCGAGGCGTACAGACTCCCCAAGAGGGCGAGGTCGTAGCCTTCCATGATCAGGGTCGAGGAGAGCAGGACGGACCAGCCGATGGCTTTTGGGTAGAGATGGATGGCGCGGAGGAGCGTCATTTCGTGCTCGGTGTCGGCGGCGTGTTTGGCTTCGACGAGGACGACGTCGTCTTGGGCTTGGGGTATGGTGGTGGTGGTGGTGGTGGTGGTGGTGCCTGCCTCTGTGGCCTTTTCAGGCGAGGGCACGGAGGCAAGGGGCTTTTGGTCCGCCATTGTGGTGGGAGGGTGTGAGGTGGTCAGACCTCAGACACCGATTGATGAAGAAGATGATCAGGAGGAAGAGAGGAGGAGAGAAGATCTAACTCTTAGAAGAGCTTAAGGAAGGAAAAGGAAAGGACGGAAAGCATGGCAAGAAAGGTGACGGAAATCCTGCGCCTTTATGTGTTCGACCGCAGCCATGAGCCATCGTGGTGCCAGCATCAAGGGTGACCAAGGGCCGGGGAGGAAGATTCCCAAAACGGGTCAAATAGACGGTGTTAGTGGTCTGCCTGCCGGTAGGTGGATCGTCGTCGACATTGCCATTGTAATTGCCATTGCCCAGAGAATCCAGGCCAGCCCGCGTTGCCAAGAAAGAAAAAAAAGCCAGCCTCCGCTCTCCGCGTGTGGCAACCATGGTTGCTCTTGTACCCAAAACTGAACGGAAGAAGACTGACGATAAGCCAAAAGATCAATAGCTTCACTCAAGTCTTGCCGTTACCATCTAGGGTGACGTCACATCACACACATCATCCCGTCGAAAAGGGAATATTCTGCAGCTCAGACGGTTGGTCATATGATATGATATTGGGAGTTTGACAGACACTGGATTCTTGCGAGTTTCCGGTGTTTGTATCATCTCCAGGAGTAGTAGGAAGAAGGACTTCCCACGAAGACTAGCAAAAACCGTTGACCGACTGCAGTGTCGGAGCAAACCCCAGACCTTATCCCCAGATCTTACCCCCCCAAGAACTCCGCTCAAGGTTGCACTCACCTCCATTCCCCCGGACCCCACGTTTAATCGCCCAGGTCACAAATCCGGGGTAAGGGGGATCATCTCTTCCGTCCTTGTTGCTCGTGTTTTTCCCCGTCTACCCCGGCACATGGCACATGGCGATTTCGAGACGAGCCAGAGTGCTGGGCCTGGTGAGTGTATGAATGACTGTGCAAGAATTTCCTGAAAAACCAATAAAGTCGAGGGAAGAAGTCAAGCCGGTGACGTCTGTGGAGATGTCAGAATGGATGAGGTTGCATTTGAGGCAGGGGTGTCGGAGTTGCTGTCCCTTTGTGCGTGTTGAGGGACAAGCTTGGGATTAAGAGGGGGTTGAACCAATTGGAACACTTTCTGCTACCAGTGGTGACGTTGAGATACTTGGTGAGTATCATCATTTTACCTCCGTGGATTAGCGTTTAATAGGTGTTAATTTGTTAGTGTCACAGTATCTCCAAGCTCACAGAAAGATGGACAAAGAGGATCTGGAAGACGACAAGGGAATCGGAGAGTGAAAGACGCTGATCAAGGACAGTGGCAATTACAGTCCCAACCACCAACACCAGAGGAACATCATTCAACCAGGCGAAGAGATGGACCGAGGCGATATCTTCAAAGCACCAGAGCTCCGACTCCGACACGGACACTCCGGCTTTCCTAGCCGGTGGAATCTCGGCTAGTCGCAAGTCTGCTTGGGTTTCGCCGATAAGCATTTGTTTACTCCTGGCTTCAGATCCCTGATGCTCTCCGTGGATAAGTAGTGTAGGATCGTACCCCTCTCTCCTCACAATGTTGTGTGAAGATCAGTTCAGAAACTTTTCCCTCTTCAACTTTGTGTCCTCGTCTGTACTCAAGTCATTCAGGTCAGCTTATTCTCTACGACCGTCATCCCCAGGCTGATTCAAGTCACTCAACCATGGGTTCCCTCAACGACACCTCCCTCTGCCTGGGCAAGACACCCTGGTGGAAAGAAGCCGTATTCTACCAAGTCTATCCAGCCAGCTTCAAAGACACCAACAATGACGGCTGGGGCGACATCCCCGGCCTCATCGCCAAAATCGACTACCTCCACTCACTCGGCGTCGACTGCGTCTGGCTCTCTCCCATGTTCGAGTCCCCCCAGAAGGACATGGGCTACGACATCTCCGACTACCAAGCCGTCTACTCGCGCTACGGCACCCTCTCCGACATCGACGACCTCATCTCCGCCTGCCACGCCCGCGGCATGAAGCTGATCCTCGACCTGGTCATCAACCACACCTCCGACCAACACCCGTGGTTCCAAGAATCCCGCTCCTCCAAAACCAACAACCCAAAACGCGACTGGTACATGTGGAAGTCGGCCCGCTACGAAGACCCGAACACGGGGAACCGCCGCATGCCGCCCACCAACTGGCGCAGCTACTTCGCGGGCCCGACCTGGACCTGGGACGAGCTGACCCAAGAATACTACCTGCACCTGTACGACACCTCGCAACCCGACCTTAACTGGGAAAACCCAGACTGCCGCAAGGCCATCTACGACGAGGCCATGCGCTTCTGGCTCGACCGCGGCGTCGACGGCTTCCGCATCGACACCGTCAACAAGTACTCCAAGCGCGTCGACTTCCCCGACGCCCCCGTCACCTTGCCGGGCGAGACGGACCAGCCCGCCGCGGAGATGTGGTGCAACGGCCCGCGCATCCACGAGTTCATCCGCGAGATGAACCAGCAGGTTTTGGCACCGTACAACGCCGTGTCCGTGGGCGAGTTGTCCAACACCCCGCTGCCCCGGGAACAGGTCCTGCCGTATGTCTCTGCCAAGGCCAAGGAGCTGGATATGGTGTTTGAGTTTAGCACCATCCGCTTGGGCACGGGCGGGCCGTTTCATGGCAAGTATTTGTATCGAGAGTTCCCGCTGTCGGAGCTGAAGAGCTACGTGGCGACGTGGCAGCAGTGGCTGGAGGGAACGGATGGGTGGCACACGGTGTTTTGCGAGAACCACGATAATGGCAGGGCGGTGTCGCGGTTTGGAGACGATAGTTCGACTGTGGAGGCGTGGGAGGCGAGCGCGAAGACTATTGCGTTGTGGCAGGCGACGTTGACGGGGACGATTTTTCTGTATCAGGGGCAGGAGATTGGGATGGTGAATATGCCGGAGGAGTGGCCGATTGAGCGGGAGTATAAGGATGTTGAGAGCTTGAACTTTTACAAGGAGGCGAGGGCGTCGGGGGATGCGGAGAGGATAAGGAAGACGGAGGAGGGTCTGAGGATCCTGGCGAGGGATCACTCGAGGATACCGATGCAGTGGGATGCGTCGCCTAATGCGGGCTTTACGTCTGCGGGAGTGACGCCGTGGATGAGAGTGCATGATGGGTACAAGGATCTGAATGTGGAGAGACAAGAGAAGGACGAAGAGTCGATTCTGGGTTTCTACAAGAAGATTTTGAAGTTGAGGAAGGAATACAGCGGGTTGTTTGTGCATGGAGCGTTTAGGTCTGTACTTCAAGAGGATGAGACGCTGTTTGTCTATGTCAAGGACGACCAAGGTTTCGAAGAGGGTGATGTTGTCCAGGCAGATAAGAGGAGGAAGGCACTAGTGGTTATGAACTTCTCTGGGCAGCCAACCAGCCTTCTGGAGCATAACCTCGATGTGGCAGCAACATTGGGCTGCAAACACGGGGAGGAGCGATTGTTGGTGACTACGTTGAAGAAGAAGGACATGTCTAGTATGGAAACTGGCACATTGAAGCCCTGGGAAGGCAGAGTGTACCTCAACTTCTAATGGCGAATGAAGCACCGGGTTGAACACCTCTGGAGTAAGAGGTACTATCAAAGAAATCAGGCCCTGTGCCGAGATGCTGGTGATGATGTGGTGCAATATCACGAGTGGTCGCAAAGCCAAACTGCCTTACACATACCGAGTACCATAACACACGCTCTATTATCATTGTCGACGCACCACTTAATTTTGAATATGTCTTTCATCTATCCAGTCTATGCCAGATGCTCTTTACTCCAGTCACTCGACATTCATGCGATCAAGAGTTTGAAATGGAGTACTGTCTACTACGAACCGGGGAGCTGAGTTCGTGATTCGTCGGAGGAACACTGTCAATCACAACACAGGACTCGTGTCCATGAGCAGGGCAGTTTCACTGAGCAAAATTATTCTGGTTGTAGTTAGATGATCGATTGATTAACTACCTACCTTAGGAGTCCCTTCTCTTGAGTTGGAAAGAATCGCTGGCTATCTAGCTGACTGCCCTGTGCTGTGTCTGGCCCAAGTATGCACTGGCCCAGTCAGTCAAAGATGTCGTAACATCTAGAAGTTAGAAAGGCCTTGAGTGGTTCTACTCAAACAACCAGTATTGTACACTACATGTTCCAGTCTATTCCTTGTGACCACCATGTCCATCCCCCTAAAGTCGAATTTCCTTACTCCTCAGGGCTCGAGTTGCCTGTCTGACCAGTGCCCTCAGTAGTCGCCTCCACCGGCCGATACAAGGCACAATAGCTGAACCTGTCAGTCTGAAAAATGACCTCTCCATGTCCCTGCACCCAACGACCCATGACATGTCTAGGTCCATAACCCCAATGGTCGCGAGGGATCTTGCTAATGCCACGAGCCTGCCACTCCGGCTGCTCCAGCCGCTCGTCCCAATCAGGGTAATCGCCCATGCCCTCCATATCCGACAAAGAAAGGCCGCTCGCTGTTAAGGAACTGCTCACTGGGGGTCCAGTCGCGCTCTGTGACAGGCTCCTCAGGGTCGGGGATCTCACAAGCCTTCTTGCAGTCGACGAACTCGACTCCGCGCGTCCAGTTTCGGGTCTTCAACATGTAATGCAGTTCCTTAGGCCAGCGGCCCCAAGTCGGCTTGGTTATCCAGTGGCCGTTAGCGTCTTGCCCTGCGGAGAGGTAGACGGCAGTGACGGCGAGCTTCTAGGATAGACCGCGTAGTTGGTTTAGCCCGCCGCCGGGTAGATGCGCAGGAACGGTGGACCTGGGGACGTCGTAGTCCATCCATCTACTGCGGCTCAATTTCGTTGTACTTGTTCTTGAGCTACCGGTACGGGTGAGGTCGTGATTTGTCTGAGGAACATTCTCAATCAACCCAGGACTCGTGTTAACAAGCAGTGTCACTAAGCAGGTTCTTCTGCGTGTAGTTAGATGATTGATTGTTTAATTAGGAGTTCCTTCTCTATAGTAAAGAAAAAGGAATCGCTGACTACCTATTTAGCTGACTGCCCTGTGCTGTGTCTGGGTCGGCTCAGCCAAATACGGCTGAGCGCGGCCCAAGTATGCACTGGCCCAGTCAGCCAAGGACCTCCTATTCTTAGCTTACTACCTGGCATCTTGGAAACCTTATCTCCATCATTAAGAAGCCCAAAAGGCCCTGGAGTGTCCAATCTAAGCAACCAGTCTCGTACAGTACACGTTCTGTCCATTCTCAAGACCCCTACATCCAACCCTCTTCAAGCTCAACTCCCTTAACGTCCAACTCCCCTAAGGATTGCCTCGCTTCTTTCGGCGTATACCTTGCAGTATAGCTGAACTTGGCCGTCTTGAGGATGACAGTGCCAAATCCCGGCACCCAGCGACCCAGGGCATGATGATCGCTCCAGTGGTTACGGGGGATCTTAGTGATACCTCGAGCCCTCCAGTACGGCTGCTCAAGCAGCTCGTCCCAGTCGGGATAATATCCCATTCCCTCCAGCTCAAACCTGGAACGAAGGCCGTTGAAGGATGGCTTAGGCACCCAGTCTCCCTCCAGCTCCGAGCATCCCTTCTTCCAGTCGACAAAGTCCACGCCTTTGGTCCAGCCGCGAGCCTTGAGCATGAAATCCAATTCTATGGGCCAGCGGCCCCAAGTGGGCTTTGTGGTCCAGTCATTGTTGTCTGCCTTGAGGTAGACGGATGTTACGGCGTGCTTCCATGACAGGCCGGAGAATTGCCTGAGCCCACCACCGTCCAGATGCGCAGAAAGGGTTGAGCAGTGGGCGTCGTATCCAGGCCAATACGGCTCTGCTTCGTCGTACTTATGCTGCAAGAAGCGGTATCGAGTTAGATCATGGATACATTGGCCGCAAACGGGGTCGACGACCTTGTCGAGGCGGCCGCCTGTGACCCGACAGTTCCAGCCGTTGGGGTCCTGGATGTTAGGGTATTGAGCTCTGAGGCGCATTACTGGGTAGAACCCGGGTTGAGGGATGGTTTGAATGTCATAGACCAAGGGTCTAGCCGGGAGGATGACCGTCGAACCGCCGGACTCTTGTTGGATTAGGTCAGAATAGTTCGGGAACCTTCTCACACGGTGGTTGTTGTAGGCGGGGGTGAGTTTTTGGCGGTAGCCCTCAATAATCACGTCGGCCTCCTCGTTGGTGGTAACATGCTCTTCGTCCGGCACGCCTTGCTTATCGTCCGGTTTGCCCTGTTTGTCGTCTCCCCGGTCATGTTCATCGTCCGGTGCGTCTTGTTCATCGTCCAGTGCGTCTTGTTCATCGTCCGTATTCTCCTCGTTGTCTTCGGCCGTATCGTTATCGTTGACAGTAGCGCGGGTATCCCTAAGGACCTCTAGAAACGTTCTCGGAAGCGCCAGGAGATTGGCTAGACGGTCTTTGGGCTTGTTGGTGGGAATCATAACTGGCCGGATCTCGCAGCAGCATCCCGAGTGATGCAAATCCGTTTTGCAGATGGGGCAAGCGAACTCGCGGTACGGCTTTGACTGGCCGTATCTGTAGCACTCCGACAGATCCATAGTCGTGAGCTTGAGATTGTCTGTGTGAGACAGGACAAGAAAGTGTTAGTTACAAGTCCACCCCGTGCTAGCAATCATGCAACTTGGGAAAATTGTTCAAAAAAGAGAGAGAAACAACAGACTTACCTTGAATACCATTGACTGGGATAGGGTTTGTCGGGCCGATGTAGCACTTCACCGGCTCTTTAAGCGAACGCACCCAAACCTTCCAACACATGACGCAGAAAAAATGGCCACAGGGAATGAAGCATCCCGCGCGGGTTTCGGCTGCGGGGCCGACGGGAGGAATCCCTTTAATATCCAGTTCATCGAGGCAGACATAGCATCTGGCGAATGGAACAGCTGCATTGGCAATGGGAGCGCCGGCCTTCTTCAACGGGGCTGTCGAGGCATGGACGTGGTCTTTGATCTCATGCCATAATGAGACCTCGTGACGTTTGGTGGTGTTCTTGTTGTTGACCTCTTGCGAAGACATAGTGTTATTGTTGTGAGGTTAGAAGATAGAAGGAAGATGATCGAGTCGATGATCGCGTTGTGGCGGCGTAGCTAAATAATAGCTAGCCTGCGACAAGTGATCGAGGTTGAGGGGTTGTCAAGTTGACCGAAAATTTGAGGTCGATGTTCGATGGAGGAGGAAGGAGGAATTGGGAGGGAGTCTGTGGGCAGAAAAGATATTTATAACGGTTCGATCCACCCTGAATTTGGGGCCCTTCACCGAAAAGCTTGGACGTGACAGCCTCAGGTTCGGCCTCAGTCCCCACTGGCAGCGTACAGTGAATAGCCGCTTCGCCACAGAATAGGCGAATGGACGCCAAGCTATATGCGAGTGAAGGGGCTTGAACGTCGACGAAACCTTGAGCTAGTGCAAGCCTAGGGTTGGCACATTCACCAGAGGTACTTCGCGATATCAACCAGAGAGAGATGTTTATGACTCCAAGCTGCCACTCACGCAGAAAGATTTAGATCGTAGGAGCGAGCTCAAAGGCCAGGAGCTGTAGCATAAAAAACGATTGTATATACGTCCGCTTAGCTAGGCGAGGCGCGAGTTAAACCAGTGAGGAGGAAGAGGTATACGCTGCGGTGGTTTGGAAACGACGATACGGTAACGGATTTTAGGGCAGTGGCCCGTCACTACAGCAACAACGCCTTCTTCGTGACAGTCGGATGAAAACGAGCCCAGCACTGTCCAAAGGTTCTGGAGAGCCAAGGCTCACTGGACCGTGGACAACCAGACCTGGAGACGTTGAGCTGAAGAAGAGAAAATTCCCAACATGTCAGGGTAGGTGAACGGAGGACGGGTTTTTATCCCCACGACCACTCAGTGCTTAAACCTGGAACCTGTATTTGACAGCCAAACGACTTCAACAGTCACACCAATCATACAGTCATACTTGGAACTTCCTAGGAACCTGAAGCATGAGAGTTTGTCCTAGTGATAAGTCTGTGACTCTGAAGGGACACTCGCAGTTTGTGCAAGTTTGAGCATCGACAGCGGGCTGAAAGTAGTGACACTGAAATGCGGATATTCGAAAACAGTAGAACAGGCATTCCCCTATTATCAAGAGTGTCAGAACCGGCGCTACCGTTGTCTCTATTGGTTGTACGGACCAGGATCAAGTAGAAAGTGTCCGTTTTACAGATAAGCCGACGCCAGAACACATTTGTGACTGAAATGTTTTAACTTTTCCAATCATTCCGAACTCACAATGGAAAAGAAAAAGAAGGGCGTCTCCAATCGCGCTTGTGGCCCCATATACGCATCTTTCCATTCTCCCTGCTCTACGCATCTCTACACGTACCCAACGGCGTAAATCATCCACCGCTTTTTTATCTTGAAGATCAATCTCTTGAGCCACTAGGATCTCAATCATCAGGGAGGTGATTCCTGTTAAGAAGTGTCTTTTGCAACCATCTCCTCACGCCTCACCAAAGCGGGCACAACCTTGCGTAGAGGTCAGCGTAGGTAGTCAGCCAACTGAACCAAGCAACACCCTAGAGGTACTCAGTACAAGGGCAATCAGCTTGCTAACAGTTCCCTTCTTCGCAAATGTTCTTCGCAAATGCTTGAATTAACGACAAGTCCCTGATTCAGGACAACGTTGTCCTTGTACAAGTACATTTGTGTGTGCCGGTGCGGCACTACGGCAGAGGATGCCGTTCCCTCTGGAGGAAAAAGTAGAGATCCCGGACCGGCTCCTAGGCACTGCCGGGGTACCGGGCTTTTGGGGCAGATCGGAACGGCTGGAATGCAAGGGAAGGTCTGGTGAAACCTTTGCTTAACGATGATGGAGGTAGGCAAGCGCAAAGATTATTTCCCCATGACTGTTTCGAGTTCGGGTTGTGAACCCGGAGGGGATGTTACGTGACATGGAGATACTGTCTATGTCTTGCTAGAGGTAGCGAATGGCAGGGAATGGGGAGGGAAACCAGGGAGATCGGCGTGGAAAAAATAAAAATAAGAAAAAGCGCAGAGCAGCAGTTCGGGACAACATCCACATGTACGAAACAGATCGCTTGACCATATAAAACAGTTCGTCACCGCGTGAAGCTGAAAGAAAGCAAGGCGAAGCATGGGCAATTGGGTTAATGGGATGCTTGTCCAGAAGAAGAATTCAGGAAGAGGAAATGCCCTTACTGGATGGGAATGACACCTGCAGAACCTTGGAGTATCCACAGAAGCTCATGATATAGCGATGTGAAGTGACTCGAGGAGGAAGGCACGAAGGGGAAGATGGGATGTCGTTGGAAAAAGGTGTAAAAGGTGGGGCACGAAGGCCCACCGTCACCTGTGATATTATGGGTAATAATCGATATGGGGTTCAACGTGGCTTGATTGTATGTATCCGTGTAAGACTAGCTCTGCAGACTCGAAGCTCTGGTATTTAAATAAATCCCGCATATCCCAGCCCAACTAGGCACGTATACGCCCAGTGGATCCCCTAGCTTCTAACACACCCCCTTAGATCTGGTGCATAAACTACGCTAGATCTACCTAAATATACCCTGAAATGCCCTGAAATCCTTCTAAAATTGGCTAGAAATAATGATATTCCTAAATTACTTCCTCGTTACGGTAGTTTTTAAGTTTCTATTCGTAAGAGTCTTATTTTATTATATTTGTAGTTATATTTGCCCATTCGTTATCCGAATCCTCTTTTATAGAGTCCTCTATACCTTTTAGGCGGCCTATAGCGATATTTCCGTTGCTAAGCTCTTATAGTTAAGTTTGTGGCCGTTGTAATTCTACGAGTTTTAATTATTTTATAGATTTTAAATATATTGCGGGAAGGAGGCTCTTTATAAGGTTATTTACGATTTATTTCTTAATAAGTATATAGATTACGTTTATTAACTTCTTTCTTTACGCTTACTTTAATTAATATTTATATATATTAATGTGTTTAAATTTAGTTATGAGTTGAACTGCCTCCTTTATAATAAATTATATTGTTTGCTTATTGTTATAGTTTATGGGTGTGGCTTCTTGATTTTCGAATTTTAGGGTAAGTTCGTTAAAGAGACAGCGAGTATAGATAGTTTCTTTAGTTCTTTAGTTGAGGGATAGTAGTTTGGCCTTTATAAATAAGGTTATAATTGTATTTTGTTTGTTGGCTCGTTAATCGATTGTAGCACTTAGGAGTTTAAGTATAAATATTTGTAAGCTCTTTCGATTAAGAGAATTGTTTATAAATAAAGAATTAGTTATAATATAGAAATTTTAGTAGTTTTTATTATTTAGTTGAAAGGTATAGTTTTAAGTTGTAAAAAGGTAGAATAGTATTTGATTTATAGTTATATAATGTATTAGATTGGGAATATTATATTTAGTCGCGATATAATAGTAATATAGAAAATCGCATTAATTTTAATTTAATACATATAAAATTTATATGGGGCTATATTATTTTAGTAAAGTAGGAGTTCCTTTTTGGCTATAGGCGTAGAATATAGTTTTTTAGTACGTTTAATCTTCTTTACGATTTTTTGGATATAGTTGCGTTGTAATAGTTAGAAATTTTTTTTTTTTTTGGTTTCGAATAATTTTGATATTTAGGAACTATTTTAGTAGTTCTTTACCTGTTAATTAATATTTCCTCTTTATAGCAGCTATTACCTTTTTAGTTATAGTAATTTCTTTATTCTTATATTTGGAAGTAATAATAATATTATTGACGTAGAAGAAGAAGAATATATTATTTTTGATTAGGATATTGGGTTTTATAGGGAGAGGGTTTATATTTATAGTTATAAGGGTCTTAGTGAATTCTTGGTATTAGAGGAGGGGAGATCTTTATAGATTATATAATATATATAGTAGTTAGCGTACTTAGTTTTTTTTTTAGTATATTTAGGGGGAGTTTTTATAAATATTATTTTATTAAGTATAGTATTAATAAAGGTATTCTTTATATTGTATTAGGTCAAGTTAAAGTTGAAATAGACGGTTAGAATTATTAGAATATAAAATGATTTAATTGTTAGAGTTGTTACGTATATTTTACGTACGCTATCCTTAGATTGTTAGTCCCTACGTATTATTAAATATATTTTATATTTAAAAAACCGGTTGTTTTAGTTGAATTTGTAAGTGTATATTTATATTGAATTGAGTATTTCGTTGTTTTTTACCTCTTTAATATTAATTTATTTTTAGAATTTTTTGTCCTTATATTTATTTAGGTGTTTCTTTTTTGTATTTTTGAAGGATTTTTTAAAGGAGTAAAAGTTGAAATTATTATAGTGTTTTAGAAGGGGTAGAAAGTTAGTTCGATAAAGGGTTTTTAATATACTTTTCATTTTATAGTAGTTAATAATCTCTTTTATTACTTTTTAATTTAGGGTTGTAGCCGGGATTGATATTAATATTCTTTTTTTCATTAATTTTAAGAAGGTGTAGTCTATAATTTTGTTTCTTTAGAAGTTTATAAATCGATTATTTTTTATAGATAGGAACGATGCGGTTTACTAAAGGTTTTGATTTATAGTTGGTTATAATTTTTTATTCAAATAAGAGAAGTTAATTATTAGAAATATAGTTAGGTTATTAGAAGGGGTAGGGAGATAGCCTTCTTTTTTATCCTTTGAATTTAAAATTGTATTTTAGAGATTGGATGGCGATTGTACGGGTAGTAATAGTAAGGGTTCTAGATTTTATAGTTGTATTTTTAGTATTTACGGGACTTTTAGAGATTTAGATTGTGTTTATATTTTTAAAATTTTTAATTCCTCCTTTTCTTTTAGTATATTTTCGGTTTCGGTAGGAAAGTTTTAGATAATAGGGCTAGGAATTCCATTATTTACGATAGGTATAGTTTCGATTTATAGGATATTTATTTATATGATATTTATTTGATAAAGCTTTTTTAATTGTATAGTTAACTCTTTAAGGGAAATATTAAAAGTATTATAAATTTCTTTAACGTTATTACGAGAAAAGACTTCGTTTTTATTGAATACGATGTTTTATATAATAATAATAAAATTAGTATAAGGATTATAGATTTTATAGATATTTATTAATTGGTATTTAATTAGATAATTGATTTAGGCGCGGTTGTTAAATTTTATTAATTTGTTTTATTCTTTTATAATTTTTATTATAAGAGTAATGGCTTTATAATTATATATTTTGAAGTGTATAATAGTAGGGGAGGGGTTTGATAGAGGAATAATATTGTTTTTAAATTGGTAGTACGTTTCGAATTAGTTTTAGAAAAAATTTTAATGATATTCCGCTTTAGGGGTTAGGTTGTATAAGTATGTAGCTGCTTTAGTGATTTCTATTTATAGTTTGTAAGGAAGATTTATATTTAATTGTATTACTATACTTTTAGTTTTTATTATATTTTTTAAGCGTTTTACGCCGCCGTTTTAAATTTGTGTATAAGGCGTTGAAGGTTCGATATTAGTTCTTTTAGTAGTAAATTAGGTAGTAATTTTTTTGCTATTAGTTATGTCGTTATTATATTCGATTATTTAAGATATAATTTAGTATTGAGTTTGTAATTTTGTATAGAGGGATTTTAAATATGTAATGATAGATTCGGCTTCTTTATTACTTAGGTAATATACTTAGACAAATTTAGATGATTAGTCTACGATTATTATTAAATTTAAATATTTTTAACCCTTTATTTATATTTTTTTGTAGGAGAAGAAGTCAATAATTAATTGTAATTTAGGGCCCTTTAGGTAATTATAAGTTTCTTTGCGTATTTAACGCTTTAATTTAGTTTTAGTATATAATTCGTAGTATATTATACTTAGTCCTTTAAATTGTATATTATATTTTTGCTTTATTAGTTTAATTAAAGTCTTAGGTCCTAAGTAGTTAAGTCGAAGATGCTAGCGGAGGGGTTTATTTTCTTAGGGCTTCCGCTTAATATAATTTATATATTATATAATAAAGGAAGATTTATTAGTATTGTTTTATAGAGAAATATATTTTAAAATAAATTATTTGTATTTAAAATAAATATAATAAATAAGAGAGTTTATAAGATAGGAGCGTAGGTAATTATTCTCATAATCTTAATAAATTTGTTCATTTTCGTATTATTTTAAGGAAATGAGGTTATAAACTATACTTAGTATTAAGATAATGTTAGGAAATTAAAACTCTTTATTTTTAGCGTTGTCCTAGATTATAATTATAATAATCCTATACCATTCGATAGGAATCCGCTTATTTTTAACCTATATATAATTATTAGTACTTAATAGGGTAAAGTCTTTAAACTAATTAACTTTATTAAAGATATGTATTATTGTATTTAAATTGAGGATTATAGAGTCTTTTAATGGGTATATAGCGTTGCATTTCGTTCTAGGTATTAAGAAATTGCTCTTATTTACCCGGTATTTATAAAGTTAATTATTTTAATCTTTATCGTTCCATTGCGTTCGTAGACGGTTAATAGCCTTTTTAAGTATTTTGTCCTTTTTTAAGTTAGTGAGCGCGCGTTTTTTAATAATAGGACTTTTAATTTAATTCTTATAGGTTAATTATAACTTAGTATAATAGTATTTATTTAGATTATAGCCCGGCTACTTATAGAGTTTGTATAGGGATTATTACGGTCGTTTATTCGTTAGTAAGGATAAGGAGGAAGTGCGTTTATTCTTATTAATATTTTTCCTAAATTTATTATTCTTTTTTAAAGCCTTTCTCCGTTTTTTTATTTCTTGGTTAAGGTTTTATTCGTTATTAGGAGCGTTTTCTTTAGTAGATTTATTATTTAATATAATTGCAAATAAATACCTTTAAGTAGGAGGGCGTAACCTTTTCCTTAGGTGGTACTCGTTGTTATTATTTTACGAAAGTCCTTAATTACAGTATAGAAAAAGATTTTGAAATTAAAGTTTCTTTTAATCTCCTTATTGTATTAGAATTAGTAATTATTTGTTTAGGCGGTATAAGGATTCGATTTCATAGTTAAATAGAATTTTAGAAATTATAAGTTTAGTTTATTTATTTTAATAATTCTTCTAGTAATATAGAATGTTATAGCCGCCTCTTAATAAAAGGTTTAATTGTATTAATTACGGTTAGTTTTGTTAGGGGGTTTAAAAATATTAAGAAGTTTAGTTTAGGCGAGCTTTTTTATTTTATAATCGTTAAAAGCGGTAGATTTATTAAATTTACTATATTATTCGTATAGATTAGTACGTTTGGTAAAATTAGTTTTATAGTAGTTATTTTTAATGGTTTTAGACATCTAGCGATTTAACGGAGTTTTTTTAATGCTTAGGTTAGAGAAGGTCTTGATTTTTGTATGCCAATCCGATTTCTTAATTATATAGTTATAGTAGTTACGCTTATAATAGAAGCTATAAAATTTAGTAATAGTAGATAGGGTAGATTCTTTATCCTTCTTAGCTTTTTTAGTTTTTTTAGTTGGGATTTCTCTTTAGTAGTTGGCGATATTGGGCTTTGTAGGTTTAATTAGCTAAGGTATATGGTTGTTGGGATCGATATGCTTTTAGAGACTAAGGTTTTGAGTTATAGAGATAAAGGCATTTTCTTAGGCCGGCTAATCCTTAAGGCTATTGAGAGTAACGTTATTAATTTTAATCGTAGATATTATTGGTATTCGTTTAATTGGTTGTCATTACTAGCGATAATTTTAATAGTTAAATTAATAAAACTGTTAATTGTAATATTATAGGTAATAATTGATATGGGGTTCAACGTAGCTTGATTGTGTGTGTCTGTATAAGATTGGCTCTGCAGACTCGAAGCTTTGGCATCTAGATAAATCCCGCATATCCCAGCCCAACTGGGCACGTGCACGCCCAGTGGATCCCCTGGCCTCTGACATCACCATTTCCCTTATCTGTTCCTTATCACTTATCAGCCGCTCTACCTCGACTCGATCAAAGTATCGCGACACAAAACTGAAGCCACAATCTTGACCCAGACCTCAATTGGACAAAGAAGCAGAGCGCAAACACAGACGGTCCTCCCGGGTCAGATGGTCCTCTCAATTGACCAATTGATGGACAGCGGACAGACAAGACCCTTGCACAGCAGGAAGGCTGTTACCTAAGACGGTCCGTCACATGAGACCTTGAAAGTACATCCCGGAGCGAATTCCGGATGTCGGAACTGTCACCAAAAGCCGATACTAGGCGACTATTTGCATTTGCTTACCGCCATTATCTCCAAAATGTGACGCTGGCTCCTGCTTGTCGCTTGCTTGTTGGCGAGTGTTTGTCCAATGGTTAGGTACCCGAGCACCGCTGTTAACGCACTGTTAGGGGAATCCCTGATCCGTATTATGTCATGATGGTTCGGACCACTGGCGAGCGACCAATAGCGTGTTAGTGTTTCCGCTGTAGGGGCAGGTGTTAGGGCTGCGACAGGGGTTTTCACTGGCTCGGTTGCAGTTGGGGAAGGTCAACTCCCCTCGAGGTCACCACATGTCAACGATCGATCTTGTCAAAGGTCCACACGTTCGTTCGTTTCGTGGAAGCTTCCAAAAGTGTTTCCACTTTGGACCCCGGACTTTACATTTATCTTGATACCCTCCCCCTTCGTCCGCTTCGTTCTGGGCATCACCTATTTTTTGTTTATTTCTTTTCGTGTATTTCTCCGGGGGGTAGATTAGGTCTCCTCTTTGTCCTCGTCCGCCAAGCATCACCACTCTGCATTTTCTTTGACTCCTCGGTGAGGAACCCGTAACAAGCTCAGTTTGTTGCTCGTTTCGAATGGGGGGACCTTGACGGCCACCGGCTCGACAACCTTCAGCATTCCATACCAACCAACCTAAACCAACAACTCCAAAACGCCAACTCCAACAGCAACACGGAGACCGAATCGTCCCTCTCCAACAACGTCCAACCACAAAATGGGCTCTACAACTCCCACCACCCCCCTTCCCTCAGCCTCCTCGCCCTCTCTAACCCTCACCCTCGCCCACCCCGACGAGCGTCCCAAAACATGGTCCCTCACCCACCCCATGTGGGGACCCGCCCTCTCCCACTCCGAATACCTCGCGCGTGAACACTTTATGACGACTCTCCCGCTCGCCAAAGACGGTGGCCTGACGCACTGGATTTTGACCGACACCGACACCGATCCCTCTTCCTCTTCTTCAGAAAAAAACCGCGAACGACCCATCCTCTCCTCCTGCGAAACCCTCCGCAAACACGCCGTCGCCGCTCGCTACGACGCCTCTTCCGACCGCGTCGTTCTAACCGAAGGCATCTCGCACGGCATCGGTTCCGTGTTTACGGATCCTCAGTACCGCGGAAAGGGGTACGCGAACAGGATGATGCAGGAGGTGGGGAGGCGGTTGAGGAACTGGCAGGTTGTTGATAAGAAGGATCGGCCTGAGTCTGAGTCTCCTTCTTCTGACCACGGCGAGAACGGCGAGAACGGGGAAAAAGGGGGGAAAAAGGGAAAAGAACAAACAAACACAACCCTCTTCTCAGTCCTCTACTCCGACATAGGCAAATCCTTTTATGCCAAAAACGGGTGGAGGGCGTTTCCCTCGGCGCACGTTTCTTTTAAACCCATCAAACCCACCACCTCCACCTCCCCCAACTTCCCTCCCAACCTCTACCCCATCAGCTATCACACCCTCCCCCCCCTCTGCACCCTCGACACCACCCACCTCCTCACCCAAACCCTCCCCACCCTCGCCCGTCTCCACCCCTCCAAAACCCACGTCGCCTTGTTGCCAGACCTCGACTGTCTCCTCTGGCATTTGTTGCGAGAAGATTTCATGACGCAACACATCTTCCACCGCACCCCCACCATCCGGGGAGCCATCTACAGTCCTCCAGACAGCTCTCCCAACGACTACCCCTCCTCCGGTGACAACGGGGAAGGAAAAAGTGGAAAAGGAAAACGGGTCTGGGCCGTTTGGACGAGATCATACTACAGGGGACTGGAAAGTGAAAGTATCGAGGGGAATCACATGCACATCCTCCGTTTCGTCATGGAAGGGGTAGAGGACTTGGGGGATGAGGAGTCCCTCAGAAAAGTAGTCACAGAGGACCCAGAGACCGAAAAATACCTGGTGGAAGCGTTCCGGGCGATTATGCAAGTGGCGCAGCGGGAGGCGGCGGAGTGGAGGGTGGAGGATGTGCAGATGTGGAATCCGAGTCCGTTGGTGAGTCGGCTGATTGAGCAATCCAAAATTGAGGGGGGTTATGAGATGGTGGAGAGGGATATGGATAGCATTCCCAGCTTGATGTGGTACGGGGCTGAGGGGATGGAGGGGGGGAGGACGGAGGATGTGGAGTGGGTTGCTAATGAGAAGTATGGGTGGTGCTGAGGACATGAGCGGGGCGTTGTTTCTCTTTGCCTTTTTTTTTTTTTGTCGTTCTTTTTCCTTAGATATTATCACCTCTTGCATACGCACACACTGGTACAGCAGAACAGGGACTGGGGGTCATGTCATCAATACAACAAATATTATCAACTAGGTATCGGCTACCGTATACCGCTAGAGAGGTCTGATAACGAAAGCACAGTTGGATATCATCAACAAAAACAGAACATCAGTCATCTCGCATACAAGCGTCCACACACTTCCAGACTCCCTTCCGCTTCAACCACCTGCCACGGCAACACCGCAGCCAAATACACAGACTCCTTTCACCAGCTTAAGGGGCCGGGACCTTGGTGGCGTCCCACCAGGGGAAGAACCTCTCTCCCTCCGACAGCGTCTTGATCGTGCAAGCCGTATCCTCACAGCCCGTATACGGTTGGGTGTTGCCCCACCACTCAACGCTCACTCTAGCCCACTGCACCGAGAACAGCATCACGATACCACTGACCGCAATGCCCGCGCTGAAGGCCGCGCTCAACACAAAGTTGTACTTGGACCAGAACGCCAAGTACCTGTTGCGCACATAGATCCAGCTCAACCACGCAATGGGGACCGCCGGCCAGCAGTAGCTCATGCTGTACGGCGCCCAGTTGAGTCCACCGTAGAACAGCGCCACGGGGTGGAACTGACGGATGAACTTGTTGCGCGGGAACTTGCGGATGACGAGCCAGAAGATGATGGGGATGCAGAGGCCGATGGGGAAGCCCAGAAGGAGCCACTTGTACTGTCCGTGAATACCAAACACCTTGACGGGACCAATGGTTCCCCACAAGACGGCGGCAGTGAAGAAGGTGTTGATGCCGGGGCAGAAGAAGCGCATGGGCGCGTTGGGCTGGCATATGTTCTCGATGTTGACTTGGAAATTGAGCACACCGGTGCAGATGAGGGTGGAAATGAGGGTGGCCACCATCTGGGCGGTGAAAGTGTGGCGGGGAGGAATCTTGATGTAGTGAGCGAGCTTGAGATCGTTGGCGAAGCTGATGGCATGCGCGCAGGTCACATAGCTGTGAAGAGTTAGCTTTAAAGCTGATTACAGGAAGACAGAAGGGAAAGGACTGACCCGAAAGACTTGAAAAAGTTCATGGCCAAGGCGTTACCCTCAACCCAAGCACCACCGATGAACTCGGCCAACACGTTCAAGGTGACCTCGATACCCGTCATAGCCTTGATGATGCCAATAGGGATGACGAAAATGATGGCAAGGAACAGGCCGTAGGGAACGACACCAGCAGTGGTGTATGTGGGCCAGGCGGCAACACCAGCAAAGCCAAGGGCCATGGCAATGACGAGGCAGCCCAAGTACCACAGTTCCGAAACTGTTGTGGGGCTTGTCAGTAATCCTTTCTCGTTCTCTTCCCAGGAAAGGGTCCTCACCTTCGGGGTAAACAGCCATCAGACGGTTATGCACATCCTTGTACCCAATATCCTCTTCCTCGACACTCTCTCCGGCGGCGTTTCTCTTGATCCAGCTCTTGGGCTTCACAGCCTTCCAAATGTTCTTAAATCCAATGGCGATCTCGGCCCGGTGGAAAAGAATGATGTGGCTGATGGTGGCCGCATAGATGGCGAAGAAGGCGAAATACACAATCGTGTTGGCGGCTGAAAGATATGCGGCGCTATAGTCCATGTACTTCGCCTCGTCGAACATGCCCTTCTCGTTGATGGCCCGCGAGACGTTGTACAGGCTCCCGTGGTGGTCAAACACACGGTTGCTGTTGATTGGGAGATAGCCAGTATTCCAGACATTGGTGTACCAAATGCCTAGGATGATGAAGCCGAAAAACGCCATGCCGAAGGTTTTGTTGAAGGTGGTGAAAGCAGGCACCATCTGGCATGTGTTAGGACGAGGCTTTGAAAGACAGGAGTTACAAGGAGACTCACAAGAGGGTCAACGGCGTCGAAAAGCATAACGTTCCAGTCGAAGGTAGGAAAGGGGTTGAACATCTATGCGCAAAGTCAGTATCAAGACACCACGACGACATTCATTGCCGAACTGGGGAAATAGTACTTACGCCAGTGCCGTTTTGGAATCCAGTGAGAATGTTCAGGTTCAGATTCTTCCAAAGTCAGCTTGACTTCTCGCCACAGAAGCAAGTGGGTTTGTCTTACGTTGGGAGCAATCCATGTCATCCAGGAGAAGAATGTCAAAGCCTCAAAGAGATAGTTGGGGAACCAGAAGTACACGAACATGGCGCCGAAAGCCCACATGAAAAACTTGAAGCGCGACATACTGTACAGCCTCTTGAATGGGCCGGGAACCGTATGGTTCTCCTCGTGGTGCAGAGCCGAGTTGAGGGCGATAGTTACCAGAGATGCAGGCCAGACACAGTAGGAAGGGTAGACGATGAAGCGGCGAGTAATACCTATTTTCCTCTTTGTCAGTCACTCGAACCCAATCACATATCGCGGAGGGAAGGCTGTCACTCACCAGCAAGGCCATAGCCGATGAAGTTGGTGCTCAACGCAATCAAAATCTGGTACGCAAAGCTGTTCGCATAAGGTTGGTTAAAGTATTGCGGCAGAACCTGGGTCCACACGATGTACTGCGTGTAGGGCAGCGACTTGGCCGTGTTTGCCATGATGGCGATCAGCATGTGTTCCTTCTTGCTGAACCGCCCCGGGTTGAGGTTATGCTTGGTGCCAAACAGGGTGAACTCGTAATAGGGCATCCATTTTTCCCAGGCTTTGCCTAGAGGGAAGGCGAGGAGCTGAGCAACGTTGGATTCGATCGAAATGCTGGGCTGGCGGACACTGAAGAGCTGTGATGATGGTCAGTCGTGAGAAATGTGAGGACTTTCGAAAAAGAAAATTGGGACCTACCTGGTTGACAAAGGCTAGGATGACAGAGAACAAGATGCCAATGGTCCACGAACGAATGGTTGAGCACGGTGTAGAAGGGTCGTCGGTGTTGTCGACAACGGCGCGCACTTCGGCATAGGGACTGTTGCTCTGGATGAGAGCAGCTTCAATCTTCATCTCGGTGATGATCTCATGGTGCTTTTCCGGGTTCGAGAGGATGTTTTCCTCGTTGGCTGTGTTATGGACCTGTCAGACCAGCCCAGGGCAGATGATGGCTTGGCTATGGACTACGCAAGGAGACACTCACCTAGGAATTCCTGGATCTTTTCAAGAACCACGTGCGGAAAGTTGGGATCGCGTCCATGCATGCTGACGACATTCTTCATCAACTTGACAACATCTTCGAGACTGAGGGTCTCAGCCGCAGCCTTCGCTTGGAGGAGATCCTCTTCGGTAACATCGAGATGTCTGTACAGTCAGTCTCTGGGATGGGTTCCATGGGAGATGAGTGAACTCGGCTTACCCTTCAAGAACCTGTGCTTCCTCCGAGTCAATGCGGTCAAGGCCGATCTCGTGAACGCCGCCGACCTTCTCATCATACTTCTCCGAAAGAGCAGGAGTGATGTTCACTGCCTTCTCATCTTTGGTGGTCGCCATGGCGTGCTGTCAACACGCCGATGAGGCTGCTGTACTGTTGAAAGATGTGGTATGGATGGACAGTCAGGAGCAAGTCCTCAAGACGTGAAGGATGGCTGCATGTCACAAACGAGGGGGAAAGGAGGTTGATATCTCCCTTTCTATACGTGGTATCACAGACCATTTGGGGAAGCACGCCACATGCCTCAACCTCACAACACCTACATGAAGCTGTACTCCTGCATGCTCCAACTCTCCCGACTGGCTTATCTTGGCCTTGCCTCTCTACCAGAAAAGGGTGTGAGTGCCCAGTGGTAATGACCTTCCCAGACGGGCGGGCCAAGAGAATGTGTGAACAAGATACTTCTGGATGAGGAAGATAACGTGAGCTATGGTAGCTGTTGAAACTTCGGAGGAGGCATCCCATGCTTGTCAAACTCTTGCAGCAATTAGCCCGTCTGGGCGCTGCATCTTGGCTCACAGTGATGGACGCCCAGACGGCGAGAGAGGGCAAGACATTGGGTTAGACATGGTGGGGTGGCGGCTGGGAGGGCGATTGTGAACATGAAAGGTTCTCGAACACACAAGGGTGATGATAAAGGAGGCGAGATGATTGCCAATGGGCTGCCAGATATTGGCTACCCATTGCCCGCATCGAAGGTTTTGGGGATATCGTGACAGGGCGGAGGAAAAGCCGCGAGGAATGATGGAAGTGCAGTGCAAGCCGATGACGGGAGAATGCAGTGTGTTCAGTATGCTCTGCGAACTCGGAGGCATGCTCTTGGAGCTGTGGGGAGGTCAAAGCTTCGACGGAGGGTACTCCGCAACCACAGACACTTCAGTCGCACATTCTTCGACCTCATTGCTCTTCAATCGCAACTTCCTCTTCTGGATCCCCACCAAGAGGTCGAGACTCGATAGTGAAGAAGTTGGTGAAGCGGGGGAAAGAGCATTGAAGGGTGCATGAGACCAAGGCCTCACATGATGGGGGAAGGCATTTCAAAAGAAGCGCCCACAAACGAGTGTCTAGTCCTCAGCAATGAAGGTTAGGTAGGTAGGTTAGTTTGATGGCCTAGACCCAGGCCCCTGCTCAGGAGTGACGATGTCCGGACAAACGTTTTGGTGGTCACGGTTCAGGAGGACATTGGCTACACGACCCTTGCCCTCGAGCTATAAGGTCCGCACTTGCGTACCTAGGGTCCGTTGTTCCTTCCTTTCCAGGGATCAAGGCGCCTGAGGACGTTTGTGTAAGGTCTGGAAGGAACGACGTGCGTTCTTGTCTTGTGAGAGAGAAATATCGGTGCCAGAAGATCTTTCCTTTCGTTGCAGACGCTAACTTCTTCTTAACTTCCAGACCACTTGAAGATCAGTCTCGATCAACACCGAAGTGCTCCTTTTATTGCGTGATAGACCAAGCAGTCATGGAAAGACAAGACCATTTCTCCTGGATTTTGCCGCCATGTGAAACCGCCAATCGCGTATCCGCCAGGTATATGAAGGTACCACAACATAGACTAGTTATTCCGCGACATACAGCCTACAATTGCATGAGAGTACCCGAATCAAACAAGGGCCCCGACATGGGGCGCTGTCCGCATTCCGAAGGAGACAAGAGAAAGATGCATGGAGCCATTGAAGCTTCGACATAGCCAAGACTGCATGTCATGGCGGATCATCGTCTTGGAGTCTTGGACCTACCTGAACCAAAAATAACCAAGTGACCAAGACCTTCGTCCCAAAACTTTTATGCGAACTAGCTCGCATCACATCTTCTTTCCAGCCCCCAACAACAAAGACGATATCAGCACTCAAACGGGGAGGAGGTTAAGGTCTGTTTCTCGTCGTTGGTGTTTCTCGGCCCCTTGGCGTACCTTGGCTTTTCTTGTGTTGATGTTGGTCATTGGATGCTAGACGATGGTCGCGATAGCAACTAAGACTATGGGGTTGCACGAGCTTGAACATTGGTCGGACCGCCAAACCACAACGGCGCGCTCCCGTCTTATTCGTGGCTAGAACAGAGGACCAAAACAGGGGTCGTTAGCCACAAATAGAGATAAGGTTCTGGGAAATGATTTTCTAGATGATCAATCGGTATCACCAAAAGCTGAAAGATGCGGAGAAAGGTTGTTACAATGCCGCCAAGAACTGAGCTCATTACTCGGCGCCCTCATTAGGAAGGTGGTAAAGACTTCCTCCCACCCGGGCGACCGGCCATTCTCTCCACAACGGGACGGGTAAACCCGACCGAATGCAGCAAATGTACATGTAAATGTCCTCCAACCCTGAGCACATGAGCACCTGCCAGCACACAGTTAACCCTATCTCATTGCCAAGACGACATGACGACGCCTTCACTTTTGACCTGCCAGCGATATCGGTTGATGCTGGTCATCAAGGTTCGAGCAAATCGCACCTCTTGCCAGAGTCTCGGGAGCTGTACGATTCAATCCATTATGAGATGTGAAGCGCTCAGCACAGGTCTCGGATAATTGATGCTCACATGGAGAATGAAACTATTGACGTAGATATCTACTGCGTCTCGTGATGTTCTTATTATCTTACCTAGGTTCCTTCTCAACTTGCTCAGGTGCCGAAGGTGATGACGGTCAATGTCGATACGTAGAGGTAGCTGACAACTGGAGGTGGTCTCAAACACAAGCGGTTTCCCCTTTTTTATGCTTTATTATTTTTAAAACTTGGGGGTTTGTGAAGGTTTTCCTCTTTTTTTTTTTTCTTTTTTTTTGTTTTTTGTGGGGGGGAGAGAAGGGGAGAAGGCGAGGGGAGGGAGGATGATGCAATGGCAATGGGGCAGGAAAGGGCAACGAGAGACCTTAATTCCTGTCTTCCTTGAACTAAACTCGATGTTCTTTGGATCATTGCCCCCAAAATGAAGGGAGGCTGTTAGTGGCAGGTGGTTTTAGTAGCCAGCCATATCCTGCCGGAAGTAATGTGCGTGCGTGCGTATGTTTGTATGTATGTGTGTATCTTCGTGTTCGGTGGATGTTTTGGGATGACTTGTTGGTTAACTGGACAGTTGACTGGAGTAGTCTTGGGGTATAGGTAAGGTAGTAAGTGTTGGTGGATATCTTGTTCATTTGGAAGATCTGGCATGTGAACTGCTGCTCGGTCAAGTTGATGCTGAGCAGGGGGTTGGGGTTTTGTGGATGAAATGTTCTTCTGATCATGGACATCTTGAAAAATAGGTACAGGTAGTTTGTGTTAGAGTGAGAATCTCTTGATGTTTGACGCACATAGTATTGGTCGGTCCTCAAGAGCAAATGCTCTCGTGGTAGAAGCATCATGGCACAGCGTACTGCTTAGTTACCTAGTTACCCAAGTGTTTCCTGTTTTGGAACCTGTCTACCTAGCTTGGTCTATGAATCCTTCTATATGATGGTAAGTGTCTCGACAGGAAAAGCTTGATCCCAACGCTTCTCATCAATACACATACCATATTCGGGAACTTTCCTGTGCTTTCGATCATCATAAATTCCAGCAGGCCTAGTCGTGTGTATAGACCTCCCGAAGCCTCTCTAAGGACGAGACAGTAGCATACCTGACGAAGGCCAAAGCCGATGATCAAGAAGACTACTGGGATGGAGTGATCGCCTTCCAGGAAGTCCTGCTCCAGTACGTCCGGACGATAATGGTATCCCAGGTCCTCCCATCTTACTTTACCTTCGGGTTCAAATTCCGTTGGCCAGTTGACATTCACTCCAAATGGGTCATCTTCCTCTGGGAGGCTGGCCTTCACCGCACAACAGGGACACATCGCAATTGTGCCGTGGACTATCTTCCCTGTTACCTTGAGGAACCCGGAAGATACTGCGCCGAACTTGGTTGCTTCGTCAACGAGCTTTGCCTGGCAATCCAAGATCAAAAGATTTCGATCCCAACGCAGCAAACCTGGGGATATAGGATGGCAGACAGGCTCGACAATCGAGGCCCAAGACCACGTTGGGCCACAATATTCTGTCGGTCGCTTCTGTGGGTGCCGCCCAAATGTCAGCTTCCGCGCCCAAATGAGGGTTGCCAACAGGTCGGATCGCCAGAATCCAGCGACGTATTCGTCCTTCAAGTATCTTGCAAAGACCTCAGCCACGGCAGCGAACCCATTCAGGCGGTCTTGAGGATTTGTCAACCCTCGACTGGTGTAAGAGGACAACAATACTTGCCACAAATACATAGCGTGATAATGCGGCCGATCCCATAACGATTGGTAGCCTTCCATTTTTCTTCTCAATTCCCATAGGCTTTCATCCATTGGCTGATCGTGGTCTCTCCCCCATCGATTAGTATTCAAGTTGTGATCCGATCCTTTATAAGGCATGTGTAATACCTCACGAATGTCTCGACGTATGCATTTCGGACCGAACTTATCGTACGGCATTATGTCGCCGTCATCGCTGAATCTAACGCGATTTCTTTGTGACGGGAGGGACGGAATTACACGTAAGCAATCGAACACTGTCCACAATGTACCATAGCTAATAATGTGGGGGGACAGCAACAGTTCTTGAAACGCCCAGGCACGAGTGTCCAGAGGTTCTTGATGATACGGGTCAAGACCCTGTTCTGTAATGATGATACTGCCCTGCTCACCGCAAAAGGTGCGGTATGGTAAGCGGAAATCCCATTTGGAAAGGTAACTTTTCTCTGCGCTTTCATGGCATTCTCTTCCATGGCGGCAGTGCAAGAACCCTTCCGAAGCCGAATTTGACCTAGAAGCAAGTATGGTGACCGTGGCCTGACTGTATATCTGGGACATTTGGCCAACTTCCCTGGCCTTATCGGCGTCATCGTCTTGTATAATGCACAGGGCATCAACCCAAAGATGGTTGATTCCGAATGCCTCAGTCACTTTTACGGCGTCGGCGATGGTTTTGGGCAGAACCTCTAGGTCGAACTGCAGAGCTGAAGCGGCAGCGCCCTTGAGCCTTGATCTGGTCAACCTCGGTTCGTGGATTCCGCCCCATTTGTATGAGAGAGCAGCGTATGCTACTGGCGTGGAGCCATCAACAATAGTAACCCATGAAGAGCCATCAAGGCTTCGGGATATCTCAAGCAGCCGCTTCGGTATGTACTTGGGCACTTCGGAAGAGTCGGGGTGGTCACGAAGACAGCTCTCTAGCCAGCCACGCGCATGCTCAAGCGTGTGCTCAAGCGGGTGATGGTTTATGGCACGCCGGGGAAATTCTCGCGCCGTTACGCTTCCTGAAACAGTACATAAGCTATTGTCTCAACCAAAATCAAGACATGCCGAGAGGTGTTCAGATCTTGAGAAGCCAAACAGTGCATACCTTCGTCAGCCATAATTTCCATTCTCAGAACTGAGCCCATTTCCCCACTGCTAGAGAATAGTAATGGTTCATGACTCCTCTGAAGGCGCCATCCAAGTTGAAAAGGGCGGGTCTCTGGTTCAATCTTCACGTTGTCATAGGAGATGCTGACAATATCTTGTTCATCATGATAGTTCCTTTTGATCTTTGCTGTTAGAAGGTAGTGTTCGTCGTTTTCCTTTCTCTGGCCTATGCGTTTGCGGATCCTCTCTGCCAAGGGGCAAGCATCCACAACCTCGGACCAAAACAGGTTAAGGTTCATATCATATATATGATAATTTTCCAGCTCCAGTCGAAACCAGGCGTACTTGTCGTCGTAGAGGCTTTCATTTTGACCGAGAAACCCTACTTGAAGGAGCCGTTTCTGCATCTGTTCCAGACGGGTGGGCGATATGGCCCCATCAACTTTGCTGAAATCGAGAGCGAGGTGTTCCTCACAGAAGGCGCAAGAGTGGGGTTCATCCACCTCTGGGCATGGCCGACCCATTTTGTGTGTGTCACAGGAGAGGCCCGGACTGTGGACGGCGGTGGTGGCGGTAAGAGGTCTCAACTGGAGGGAGCAGACGGGAAGAAGCTTGAAAAGAGGTGGTTCACGGATGAAGTTGCATCGAGAGCAAAGGAGGGGTAAAACGCGTTGGTGTGTACCTGCAGTATCATTGCAGCTGTCAAACGCCAGCCAATCGGGAAGCCACAATCAACGACAGAAATCACGCAACAGATCTTCCTTCCTTGAGGTTCTTTCCTTGTATCGATACTGTCAGATTCAAGGGTGGTTTTAGCCATACCATATGGAGGTTAGCGCTCCAGCCACCTGATATTGCCTGATTTCTAGGCATATTTGGGTTACCCCAGCACCCCCTATACCTTTTAGGCGAGTTAGTTATATACACTTTTTAATTAATTAATTCTGTACTATTATATTTAATAATTAAAAGTTTGATTTGCGTATTCACGTTTAACGCTACGATTATCGATTATAAATAATATCTTTACGAAATTAATAACGTTAGTTATATCCTTATTAAAGGAATCTACCGATAAGGCTATTATAGTTATCCTTAATACCCTTACTGACTGGCCCAGCTAGTATAAAACTCTTAAGAGACTCGCTGGCAGTAATTAGGATTTTAGTAATTAGTTACTCAAGGGAGGATTTGTAATTTAGAAGGTTTTACCTTTAAAGCCAGAAGATTTCTTCTTTACTAAGTAAATAAAGGACTGCCTTCTAGCGGTAAAGAAGGAATTCGTTAAATTTAATAGAAGAATCCGGGTTAAGAAGGCCGTAATTATAACTATAATAATTATTACTATTACGGCTACTTATACGAATAGTACTATTACTGAAACTACTCCTACTACCTAATTTTAAGAAGAAGCTGCCGCCGGCGCTAACGAAGACGATAAGGAAGGAAGTTTGGGAGAAGAAGAGGAAGAGGAGGATAATAAATGCTATACCGAGTAGGATATTGGGGAGGATATAGTTATTAACCCTTCTACCGATTTAATAATTGCCGGGAAAGTAGTATACGATTAAATTAATAATACGTACAATGTTCGCTATAAGTATTAAAAAGACTTCAACGATATTAATATTAGAATTTGTAATTAAATAAATACTTATATCGCTGCCTACTATACTGATACTTTATTTGCATAGGATAAATCTACCCGCAATTAGTTTAGAAAAATTAAGAATTAAATTAATTATCGATTTATTGATTAAATCGCTAAAATTCGTCGAAACTATTAAACCTTTATTAAAGAAACTATAAAGAAGTAACCTAAGGACTTCGAAAAGTAATTATCCGATTAGGAAATCCTTATTATAAACGGGAAGAGATTCGGAATTAATAAAGTAATTTCCCCTACTTTATAATTTACTAATTTTATTAATATAGTCCGTAAATATAAACTTATTTAAGTTAACAACTTTTAAAAATTCGATAACGAATTCGAAGAAATATTTTTAAAATATAAGGACGTATCCGTTAATTTTAAAAGGGTTAATATATTAGAACGTACCGTACTATTAATTAATTTTAAGAAGGTTATGGTTCGTAGCGTTTAGGGTATTGGCCGCTTTGGCTCGTAAGAGTTCGTATTTAATAAAAAGGACGCTCTTAATTCTAAAAAAAAAAAAAAAAACGGAAAGTAAATGTAAAAAAGAAATGTAGTGCGGATAATAATGCGAAAAATTCTTTACGGCGAAAAATTCTTTACGGCCGAAAAAGAGAAAAAGCGCTACGCTACTTTATAAAATTTACGAACGAAAGCTTTACTTAATAACGCGCTACTAGTATTTAATACCTAAAATTAAGGATAATCCTAAATAGAAACTAAACGGCCTTATTTAGAAGTTTATTAATAAAAATCTCGAAAAATATTCCGAAATTAATAAAGAGGTTAAAAAGGCTAAGAACTAAATATAGGACCGTTTTATTCCCTTTACGTAGATTACTACTTCGAAAATTAAAGGAAACGAGAAACTAGTACCTACGATTTAATATTTTTCGTTAAATAAAGTACTTTCAACGCGAATAGTAGTAAAGGTAATATTTATTTATTTAAGAATTCTATAATCCTCGATTCCGGGGTTTCATTTATATTTTTAATGAAATTAATTATATTTCTTTGTTTCGAATAATGTCCCTAAAGGATTATATTTACGCTAATAAATTTTAAATACTTATTAAAAGTTTTAGGATTATTAACGTAAAAATATAAGGAAAGAGGGGAATTTTAAAGTTATAGTTAAAAGAGGTAGCCTTCTACCCTAATTTTATTATAAATTTTATATTATTAGGCCTACTTCGAAGGTAAAGTTTTTCTTAGGATTATAAACCCCTCAATAATTGCTTCCGTCAGCTAGATGGCTTATTCTTTTGTTTCCTTTAAAAAATCTATTATTAAACGGTCTTCGAATACCTACACCTCTCCTTTAATTATACCGCTTTTTTTATTCGTTAAAATTATTTTAATTCCTTTACTAGCCATTGCGTATATAAAATGCCCACTAAATTCTAATATAAATAATTCAGTTATTATAATTTTTAAGTCTTCGAATACTTCTATAGCGTCGAAGGCGCTAAATTTAAAGGGCCCGCTACTTATTAATACAATACGTATAATATTTTAAAAATTAAATAATAAATTAAACGAAAATTACAAAATAAAGGATTTAGTTTAGGAGAGCATTTCGCCGTCAATTTCTTCGAATATAAAGTAGGGAGAGGTGGCTTTAAATACGTTATATTTATTATTTATCGATAGATTGGATTTGTTTAGGATATTTATATTGCGAACCGAATAATTAAGGTTATTATTAAAAGACTCTTTTCAGTTATCAATATAATTAATTAATAATAATAATAATAATAATGATCTTATTCACGCTTAACTGTTTAATTTAACTAGTCGCCTATTTAGGCATGCGGTCCTTCGTCGTTCAAAGCCGGGCGGAAAAACCGTATATCCGCCGATATCGGATGAAAACCTCCCGCGTCTTTATATCTAATATCTATCTTCATTCATCTAAACCTTCCTTCAAAATCCTCCAATTGCCCGCCCCTCCACCCCCACCCTTTCTTCACCGCCCCGGGGACCGTCTGTCTTTTTTCTGGGGTAGTATTTTAGGGGGAGGGAAGAGGGGATTTACGGATTTCGATCGGCGTTCTTCTTTAGGGTCTTCTTTCGGCCCGAGGGCCCTAGTTTCGAGGCGAGGGCAAGCATTACCCTGCTTGCTTAGGAAATCGTGCGCTAATTGGACGGAGAAGCTGTCGTGCTGTCGAACGGGGTAATTACTTTTCGAAGTAGAAAGAATCGACCCGAATCTACTTTTTGGCAGGGTACTTAGGGTTTTGGACTAGAGTGAGCCCTACAAGTTTAACTACGTACTTAGGGTAAGGAAAGAATTCCATCCGATCCAAGAACCAGAAAAGATCAGATGGAAGAGAGGGGAGCAGGATTCGAACCCACGACCTCACGGAAACCGCAAGGCAAATCCAAGCCCAGATCTTCCCAGCTGAGCTACCCCCCTTATTAATATAATATTAAAATTAAATATATTAAGTATAATAACGAATTTAATAGTTAATACGTTAAGGATAAATTAATTATACGCTTTATTATTTTCGAACTTTTAATATTTAATATTCAAGTTTAAAACGGCGGTACTAAGTGTTTAGGAGGTATATTTAAAGAAAAGGCGTATATAATAATAAATAGCGCTAAATTCCCTTATAATTTCTAATTTTAAATCGTTTTAACTTCGGTTTATTTTATTAACCGATTGCTTAAGTATTTCTATAATTAGAAGTTACTATACGAATAGTTTTATACCTTTGTAATTTATTATAAGGGAGTATAAACCGAATCTTATAAATTTAATTTTAATTATTTATGTATTTATAATTATAAAATATACGTAATAATAAGTATTGTATAAAAGGAAAAGTAATAGCGTAAGAGATTTTAATTAAAAGTTTAAATCGGATTTTTAATTAGTTACGCAGCCTACTCTATTTATTAAATTTAGAACCTGCAAACTAATTGTATTGTTTATACCTATAATGTATTTTTAATGAAAATTCAATTTATTTAGGGAACTTTAATAATTGTAAAGAAGGATTAAAGCTAATTAATAATGAAGTTACCGATTTATTTAACCGAATTAATTAATTTCCTTAATTATTTATATAATATTTCGAGCCCCTTAGCGCGACTTAAAATATAGAAAATAACGGTCTTACCACTCTCTTACTGTTATTCTTTAATAACGAATTTTAAGAAAATCATAACGAAACCGTTTCGAGATTAATAGAGCCTACTATTCAAAATAAAATATTTATCGACTTTATATTTAATTACTTTACCTCGCCAAATATATTACTAATTATTCTTACTACCGGCCTTATAATAAATTTACTAGAATTTATCTCCTTCTTAACTTTCGAACTATAGGAAGTTGTATTTAACGTTAAGAGATTTATTTAATTAATTAGGTAGTAGTAAGGTAAGATAATTATAAAGGTAGAAATTAACTTCCTAATTTCCAAGGGTGGCAAATTAAATTCCATTAAATGTTAAAACTTTCCTCTAATCTTAAAGATTTATTGTAATTTCGAATATTATAATTTGGATAATGTTTTTAAGTAAGTAAAGGAAATATATTTCGATAGTTATAAAGAAATAAGGTTATAGGTTAAAATCGACAAAAACGTTCCCTATATTAAAGGTCTTTAAATCTTTAACTATATATAAGTATACGTATACAAATTTAATAAACATAGTCGGTTATTAAAGGTAAAAGTTTGCTTTATAATTAAAGGAGATTAGTAATATAATTATAATAAGGAGACGTATATTTTTATGTTAATTAATTGCTTATTTTGGTTAATTATTGCCTACGCTGCTAAATTCGATTTTGAAGTTATTTAATATAATATAGTAAACGCCTTCGTTAACGCCTACCTGAATAAGGAAATTTATATATATATACTTCCTAATTATCGAAAGTATAGTATTATTTTTAAAATCCTTACGGCCTTCTATAATTTCCGACGAATTCTTTTACTATAGTAATAAGAATTTAATGGGACCTTTGAAAATTTAGGATTTAAACCGTTATTTGAGGACCCGTATATCTTTAAACGTAATAGAATCTTAATTTTCTACTACGTTAACGATATTATTCTCGCTTTTAATAAATTATAATATAATAAAATTACCCGGATTACGAAAAAATTAGAAGAGAAGTATAAATTTACTAGTAGTAATAACTTTTAATAGTTTTTAAATATCGAAATTATTCGAAACTAAGAGGTAGGCTATATTTAATTGTCTTAATGGGAATATAGTTACAAAATTATTAAATTAATTAAGAATTCCTATACCTTCGCCTTTGTCCTAATAAATAATAAAGAATTTATTTTTTATAATAGTATAACTTCCTTCGATAAAATCCGGGAATATTAAATCGTTATCGCTTCTATAATATACATCGCTATAATTACCCGGCTTAATATTATTTTCGCCGCTAGCTGACTAATTCGCTATAATTACAATCTCGGTCCTTAATATCGTAAAGCTATTAATAAAATTTTATACTATTTTTAATACTACTTTGATTTCTCTTTTTATTATAATAAATTAACGAAATTCGAAATCGCTTTAAAGATATTATACGCCGATAATTTTTTATATTGAAAGAATTCGTATAGATTTACAATTAAATTCTTTAATCATCTAATTCATTAGGGTACAACTAAATAAAAGACAGTATTTACTTTAATAATAAAAGTAGAACTATCATCGATTTTAAACATTATTAAGGAATTTATTACTATTATATATTTATATAAAGAAATTAATATTCCTTTTAATAAAGAAATACCTATAATTAGTTATAATAATATATAAACAATTTATATATTAATTATTAAAGTAGTAAAGCTAATAGCCAAATTAAAATACGTCGATATCTATTATTACTAATTAAAGTAAGAAATTATAGAGGGAAGGATTAAAGTTGAATATTTAGAAATAAAGAAAATATTAGCCAATAGATTAATGAAGGTTTTAGGACAATTGGATTACGAGAAATTCCGGGAATTAATAAGAATAATAAATATATTAGCTCGTAAGGAGATAGGGATGAATAAGGAGATTCCGGATAATGTTCTAGAGAACATTTATAGTTCGGCTAGAGAAATTAACATACTAGAAGAGAGATTTTGTAAATAGCTTCACTTTTACCCTATTTAGAAGGTCTATAAGTAAGGGGGTATATCAGATTTAAGGGTAGTTTTAACCATACTATATAGAGGTTAGCGCTCCAACCACCTAATATTGCCTGATTTCTAGGCATATCTGGGTTACCCTAGCACCCGCTATACCTTTTGGGCGAGTTAGTCACACACACTCTTTAATCAATCAAGTCTGCACCGTCACATCTGATAGATACCTCTAGGCGAATATTGGTTATAAGATTTTAAGGTTCCTTCCGTTCAGTATACCGCAACCTCAACCCAAGCATCCTCCTTCCCTTTGACTAATTCTCCCATCATTATTCCGTACACGCAACAGTCGCCCACCCAAGTAACATCACGCCGGTTTGCCCCGTCGACGGGAGTCGAACAACCTCGTTCCTGATCCTCGGACTTCAAAGGCTTAAGCACAACCGGGAGCCTGCACAATTCGAGAATCCAGACCTCATCACCAGGTTCAGACGTCACGGGCCCGAATCCAACCTTGCCTCCTTCGGTGACGAACAAAAGATGGTGTTGGAGATATATGGACGCCCACTCGTCCCGGTCAAGGGGACAATGACCTGGCATTGCTGGATCAAGCTGGCCCGTCACGACGCCGAGGTATTCCTGCATCCAGCCACCGCTCTGCCACCGCCTGCGTGATTCCTCACTTGCCGACGAGAAATAGTCGTGGCATCGCCCAATGAGCTCTCCATATCGCACCGCGTTCGCTACCAGAACCTGGTCGCCCGGAAACTCCTGTCTCCCAAGAACTTCTCGCTGCTCCACCACCGCGATTCTGTCAACCAAGAAGCCGTCCAATCCAAGTACTCGTCCAGTTTCATCCAAAACTCTCGGGCCCTTTCCCACCATAATGGGCCCATCAGCGCAATAGTTGGAGTACAGTTCCTCATGACTAAAATAATCGGCTCCCGGCACTTGGACCGGTACCTTGTCTTCTTCCGTATTAAAGTGGATGAATCCATCCGACCATCTGTCTTGCGACCAGTCTATCACCCATGACGGAAGACCCTCCAACTTGGCCGCTTCTCCCCGTCGGCCCATGAGAGGTTCAAGACTGTTGGATTGTTCGATAAGGGCCCATGAGACACGGCAGAAAAGTGTTTGGGTGTCCAGGGTGTAGTCGCAAGATGGGATGCCGGGGAGAAAAGCCGCCTCCTCATCAACATTTCTACCCTTCAATCCCATCAACCCGTACACTTTGTCCCTCGGATCTGTGGCTCTTCTTCCACGCCAGCGATACAGCGTGGATACAGGCTCTTCGCCACCAGACGAGATGCCGATACCCCTCATATAAGCAATCAGGTAGTCGTCCGGCCTGAGCTTGTCAAATAGTCCATCTGGCAGCAAATCACCAACATGTTCATTTCGCTTCCCGTCAGTAGGCGCCATGAGTGCCTCTGACGCCATGTCAAGAAGATGCCATGAGATCTCACAGGCGCCCCAGTAGACCGTCGCCGCAGGAGGAAGGACCGCCTCTTGCACGGTCCACACTCGCGACCACCAGGGCGTCCTGAAGAATTTGTAGAATGCTTCGGCAGCCCTTAGTCGCAACTCATGCCCATCAGTGCCCTCATCTTCAACATCCTGGAACCAAGCTAGCGGAGACGGGTTAGGTACATCAACCCCACTAAACCTGGCGTCCAGCGCTTCGCCTGCGACGGTGATCCAAGCGATGGTGTCGAAAGCCGCTTGTGCGTCTTTCTCAGAGACACCTACATCTCGTGGATATCCCAACCAGATGTTGCACTGGGTACATGAGGCGTAGATGCGGCGCATCAGGTTGACTTGCTGCGTCTTTTCGACATCGTCGGACTGGTTGATGCATACTGCGTCTATCCATAGCGTCCTTATCCGGTCCGAAAGTCGAAGCCGCCGCAGCGCTCGTAGAAGGCTCCCCGAGACCGGGAAAGAGTTACTGTCAATGATGACTTGAGGCGCCTCTGTTTCCGGGTCGCTGCCGACATCTTGCCAGGCATAGGACAGAGTCTCGTAACAGGGGATTTGTTGCCCTTCGCTCGGCTTCAGGCTGATGACGCGGTAACTGCATGCTATCGGAGAAGAGTCTTTTTCGGATGGAAAGATGTCGAGAAGTCGGATCTCGTCAGCCGATGAATTGACCGGCGGAAGGAGCGTTTCACCCGGCGATTGCTTCCTCAGGAGTCTCCATGCTCGCTGGTTATTCATGAGCAGTTCTGTGTGACTCTTTGGGATTATCGGTCAGCCGATGATTGAGCCCAATCTCGAGGCTTTTTGCCAGCTCATGAGGCTCCACGATTTGACCATTCCATTGGCTCTCCAAGCGTCAGCAGTGGTGGTGGAGCAAGCGCTTATCATTGCCCCCAAAGTTGACCCATGGCATTGATGTTTTGCAATTGTCATGTCCTACATATTGTCAGTCGCAAGCCCTCTTCATCACTGGGGAATGACAGAAGTCTGACAAGTGGAAGATATTTTATCGATATCCGAATGTCGATGGGACACGGGGCCATGATCAAGACCCCGGTACAGTACGGAGGAGCGGATCCCAAAATTCGGAGGTCGGCCGGCATCGGGGTTCCGAGTGGGGGTCGGTCGGGCCCGGGGATTCAGCGGATCATCTGCCAACTACGGTAGCCAAGCTAATTGCCTTTACAATTCGAGACACCAACATTGGGGATTTGTCCCAATCACCAGTCTATAACGGCTTCGCGGGAACAGTTTCCTGATTTCTTCCCCTCTTTTGGTCACTTTTCTTGTTGACATGGAAACCAGACTGTCGACGGGATCTTGATCCGATCTGGATCACAAATGGACTGCTCATCAAGCATGTGACTTCAACGTCGACGCTCTCCCCTCACCATCATGATGATGCGCTTTTCAAGAGCACGGTATTTCCTCCGAACAAACGCTTCTTGAATTCCCAATTCCCATGCTTGGTGTTGTACCATTGGTGGGTCAATTCTCCTCGGTAATCCCAGCAGTGAAGCAAAAGCTCGGAAGATCGTACCCCGTTCGTCAATAGCGTCTCTTTCTTCCAAGCAAGAAACCTCAAACTTGCGTATATCACCACCACCATTACCAGATGTTTCTATTTACATCCATTGCCACGCGACGTTTTGTTTTCTGGGAGGAGCATTATCAAAGACGGCCATTTCGCCCTGTCGGTATTACTTCCCCCTAGACTTCGGAGAATTATCCTCGAGGGTAAGGGTGGATGGTGCAGCCTCCGCCCCTTGTCTCTTGGTTCGATGTCACCCGGATCGAGGCGTTGAACGATCCGAATGTCTGGTTTGAGTTCGTCTTGCCAGGCGCGAGAAGCCGGATTTGCAAATTGTGGGTGGACAGTGGACTTGTTTCTTATGCTTGCGGAGATGTTGTTTGGGTCTAAATTGGGTAGGGGAACAGCCGCATGCTTGAAGGATATATAAACTGGCCTTGAGAACCCGGATGGAGGATGAAAGAGGTTTGTTGTGAGACAGGTTGGACAGTCAAGTCAGCTCAAACTCACTCGACAAAGACCAAGATGAAGACCTTTGCGACTCTTTTGGCTTCCGTTGGCCTGGTGGCCGCTCATGGCTATGTTGATAACGCCACTATTGGTGGGCAGTTCTATCAGGTATGTATGAACACTTGAACTCTTATCAAGGGCCTGGACAACATGCTAAAAACCTCACAGTTCTACCAGGTAATACCATCACCATCACCATGACCCCTACGACTATATCTCAACAGCTCACACTCCCTACTATGTAGCCCTACCAGGACCCCTACATGGGCACCGCCGTAAGTCTCCTCCCAACATCGCCCCTTCCACTATCCCTCCCACCACCATGTGCGTCTACCCCCCAGATCCTCATATACCTACTAACATTTTCCACCAGCCCGAACGCATCTCCCGCAAAATCCCCGGCAACGGTCCCGTCGAAGACCTAACTTCGCTCGCCATCCAATGCAACGCCGACTCGGCGCCCGCAAAACTGCACGCCCCCGTCGCCGCCGGCTCGACTGTGACCTTGCGCTGGACCCTCTGGCCCGACTCGCACATGGGGCCGGTTATCACGTACATGGCCCGCTGCCCGGATAGTGGGTGCCAGAACTGGACTCCTAGCGCCAGTGATAAGGTTTGGTTCAAGGTTAAGGAGGGCGGGAGGACGGGGACTAGTAATGTTTGGGCTGATGTGGGTTTTCCTTGTTTTCTTTTTTTTTTTTTTTTTTTGCTTTGCTCGCTGCGCTCGATCTTATCCTTGGTAACAAGGGAAACGCGGACTGATACTAACAACAAAAAAACAGACCGCCCTCATGACCGCCCCGGCCAACTATGAGTACACCATTCCGTCCTGCCTCAAGCCCGGTTACTATCTTGTTAGGCATGAGATCATTGCGCTGCACGCTGCCTACACTTATCCTGGTGCTCAGTTCTATCCGGGATGCCATCAGTTGCAGGTTACGGGTTCGGGAACCAAGACCCCCAGCTCGGGATTGGTCAGTTTTCCGGGGGCGTATAAGAGTACTGATCCGGGAATTACTTATGATGCTTATAAGGGTGAGTTCTACTTCTTCCAAGTTGATGTCATAAAAGAAGAGTGTCTACTAATACCTTACTGTGCAGCTACTACTTATACCATCCCTGGCCCTGCTGTGTTTACTTGCTAAACGGCTTGCTTGACTCGCAATGAGAAACACAAAGGCCGAAGTACAAGTGACCGGCACTTCGATGCTTGAACTCAGCTGAAGCAGACTGCCGGTAACCAGTCATACCGGATTTGGAGCCAAAGTTCAACGGACTTCTGTACCCTGCTTCGTGGACCGTGGACCACTGACAGGTGATATCTTCTTCAAGTACATATCTACACTATTTTGTATCGGACCATAATGTTGGTCGTTGCTTGTATATAACTACAGAAAATGTACCTCTAAGTAGTCCAATCGCAGACGTTAAGAGGCCAGCAACATTGCTGATGGTGGGCAGAGGACTGTCTCGTGTTTCAATCGCCATCTCTCTCAGATTGAAAGGTACGTTGTGGGTGATGTCAGTAGGCAGAGAGACTGACGTCGGCAGCACCGAAGAGATAAAAGTTCATGACACAACCTTCTCAATGTAAACCAGTGCCGAGAGCCGCAACAATCGCGAGAGAGCCGCGGAGATGATGCGTTTGGTGCGTCAATTGCTTGCGGGCCAAGAAAGGCGCAGATAACAAAGGGTCTACTTACAGCCTCCTAAAAAGCAGGCTCTCGGCTTCTTTCTCGGGTTAGCCGATGCATCAACAGATCCCCCTCCCCCGCGGACTCCTCCTCCGCCAAACGAATCCCGTCGACCGGTCAAAAGCCACAATATGACTGCATCCAACCCTCTCCTTATTGGTGGTCGCTTCCAGTTTTCCACATTGCCCGGTCGAGTGATTGTCAAATGGATGTCTGTACGACATTAATTCTATGCATATCAGCCTCCATGATCTACAACTGGGTGGGTGGTTCATCCTCCATATGCAAAAACTATTTCCGCGGTGTTATCCCGAGAAGCGGGCGGCCCCTCTCATAGGGATGCCTATTTGTGCTCCGTGATCCCCCTAACACACTCCAGATGATGGATTGGAGTCGATCAATAGCACCGATCTTCTGCATCTCATATCATATCACACCCCAAAACTACCTCGACAACAATCGACACGATGATCGAACTAAAGCAAGATCCAGACAACACGTCAGTCAGCATCTCTTACGGGAGCATGAGCAGCTTCACCATTTCCTTCTGTGAAGTTCCCCGAGCGCAAGACAACGCAGAACGTAGTTATCAACGAGTCCATGACCCGTATGGAGGAGGAGGCAGAGAAGGCTGTCTACAGCCTGTCTTTCCTTTCACGATATATAACTCCCCGGCACTGAAGGATAGCCGGGCGCTTGCCATTAAAGGTAAATCCTTTTCACTACAGTCCACTCTCAATGGGGTTTCTCCAAAGAGACAGACAACTAATGACCTGTTGGGCCTTTCAACAGATGACAAAGCCTTCGCAATCCGTATGTCAGGTACCACCTCTTCAGAGTCGGCCTTCAAAGCGAAAGTGAGCGTGGGCGGGGTGAATGTCATCCAGCATACCACCACAGACGGGAAGGACACACTACCACAAGACTACTTCGTCGTCTCGGAGCAGGAGTGGATATGGGGAACGCAAGTCGGGAAGGATACCGCACGCCAGTTCCGCGTGTTTGGTCGTCATAGAGAGAGGTATGTGTCATCGTCTGGTGTTATGAATCTGTTAGCATGATCTTGTGCGCATCATGACAGCATGGTACCTACCTAGGTATACAACATCTGTCCCGTCGTCTTCTAACATCTGAAATGACTGCAGGCTCTCCCTCCGATCACAACTCCGGAAGAACAACCTTGTCAAAGAAGTCGAGATCCAGATCACTTCACGACGTCAAACACCACCAACCTGTGAGGCGGATACAACTTCGGAGTCTTCAACACTGGCTGGCTCTTCAGATGAACCATCAGATCCGCAGCAATTTTTTGTTCCCTTCGCATCCAGCTCCAGTTCCAATCAGCGGCCCCCAACCGAGAAAGCATCACCACATGAAATGGTCATCGGCACCGGCGGTCTGATCCGCCAAGTCATCGCGAAGGATAAGCACCCAGAAGACTGGACCGATGACACCATAACCCTCAAGTTCAAAATCCTCAACCCCCAGAAACCCAAGCACTTCCAAAAGGTGACGGGACTCCGGCTCGGCAACCCGGGAGGGAACTGGAATGAGAAACCGAACCCTGCAAAAAAGTTTTTCAGGCGACGAGCGCCTGTGGTTGAGGATACGGAGGGGATGAGGGAGGATATTAGAAGTCCGGAGGAGATTGAAGCGGACGAGGATGTGGATATGGATTCTGATCTAGACTCGGGTGTGGCCATGGGGAGGGCGAGCGAGATGGAAGAAGAAGACGAGGAAGTATCCCCAGAAGAAAGGAATCGGTTTGCAGCGCTTATGGGTGAGGCTAGGAGTCAACCGCGAGAGCTAGAGACCACGAATGGGAATCGGAAAGAGAAGAAGAAGAAAAACAACGAGGGGAAGAGGGAGAAGAAAGATGGGGAACGACGGCCGGGTGTGATGCATATAATGGTTCTGAACCAGCGGGCTGGGCCGGTAAATAATGCACATGGGAGGAGAAGCACATGGCGAAAGTTTCTTGAGGCGATGAGGAGGGTTTTGACTCCGGGACAGTGGGTGGCTTAGTCGCGACGGGGGAGTGAATGATAAGGGAAAATGATGTGATCTAGTATGGTGGTGCGCTTGGTGTAGGTTCTGTTGGTGAGCGAGTGTTGATGGTGTTCACTGTGTCGACTATGGTGCTTGCTTGACGATCGATTGTCCTAACAGCTCAATGTTGGTATTAACAACAGCTGCTTCAATAAGTGTATGGTTCGTCGGGATAGGAATCACCTTTGTAGTTGCAGTAACTTAATCCCTTGCATAACCAGGATTAGAGAGTCAACGTGAGCTACAATCGAATTCACTGGCAGAGCGACATATTTAATTCATCCTGTCAGTCATGAACCTCTACTCACTTTTGTGCTCGAGAGTGAAAGGGAAAAAGTCGACTGGTGTGCACTTACACTCCTGGTAATTATCCTCAAGTTTATCCACAGCCTCACGCGATTCTCGCCAATTGTAGAGTTGTCTGCAGACCGACACTGATGCCTCGTAAAAGTTCTCCACATCCCATCGCAATATCAATCGTCTCGTAGCTCTTGCGTAGCCAGCAAGGCTAATCTGTTCGGCGAGAAGGTGCTGAATGGCTTCTGTTTCGTTGATGGTGACCTTTCCCTGGTCGTAACATCTCTGAACATCTTTTAAGATTTCGGTAAACCGTTCTTCTGGCTGCTTCTCTTCCAGGTCTGACCTTTCTCCGGGTGCTCCGACATCTGGTACCCGAGGGATTCCGGAAGCGTGGTCGGGATGCATGTTATCCCTTCCAAAGCCCGCGAAAGCCGGATTAAAGAGCCGAATGTAACGTATTTTCTGTTCCAAGGCGTTGAGGGAATTCTTCCACCCCCCTTTCCGGAGTTGTTTGATTATCTTGCTTTCGTTTCGAAGAACTCGGACTATCAAAAGATTGAGCGCCGAGAGAGTGAAAGTGAGGAGGCCGATGATGTTTGCGGCTGTGGAGAGTTTGCTGTCCGGACAACAGTCAGCCATCTTGCGATCCTGGAGAGATGGTACTTATGCATGAAAATGATGTCATGATATGGTGGAACGAGTTAGTGAAGGGTCCCGGGCAGTTGACAACTTTAGAAGGAAGGTTGAGTTACTTTTAATCTATATACGCTCGCTGAACAAGGACATACGCCGGAGCAGTCCACCACGGGTCAACATCAGCCCCGAGCGCAGCCTGCATGGGCCCTTTAGAGCCACACGCCACAATGACACCAATCAGCTCTCAAGCCACGACAAAACGTCGGAAAGATGGAAAGGCGGACGACCATACGCTGCTGTCTGAAATATGAATACATTGGCAACGGATTGTGACATGGTGTGCGTATAGTCGGCGGCAATAGGCGCGAATAGGCTCGACAGTTTTTTTCGGTTCTTCTCGGGAGGGGTGTTGTGGAAGTTGTGGTGTTGGAAGAGTGATGGGTAGGTATACCCGGACAGAGTGGGTGAAGACGGAGAACGGATTTCGGGTTGCGGGATGCTTTCATTCGGAGGGATAGGTGGCAGGTCGTTGGTGCTGGGCGTTCAGTCGGTGCTAAATATCTGGCGGGTTGGCTCTCGGGATGTGGTTGATGTTTGGTTGCTGCATTGCCGAAGACATTAAACTGAAGCCTCTATTTCTCCCAGCTAGGGAGCCGCAGTCCAGTCCAACCTGGGGTCCGCGAGCATGTCGTGTGTTTCCGAGAATCGCATTCGGGGGAGATGGCGACGTCTGCGACTGGGTACTGCCTGTGATCGTTCACAAACGACCGGACACGTAAGCTGTCTGTCCGAACATGACTCGATGCCCATGCCAAAGACATTTTGATCCCCCAATTTCATCCATCGTCAACGTAAAGACTTGCCAGACCAAATCCAGATGCGCTCAGTTTGATGTGTTGTAATCCAAAGAAACCGAAATTAGCAGACAGAGAAAACCGAGAGATGCCTACAGAGATAAAAACACAACTTTGCCGAACCCTCCTGATGCGGCAGAAAGAATTTGTCCCTTCCATAAACGCCACAAGCCATAGCCATTTTGAGGACCATGTTTAACAAAACCCAAGACCCTGGTAAAGCAGCAAGTCTTTCTTCCACTCCCTTTCCTTTCCGAGCAGCGCCAGCAGCAGCAGCACTGGCATGCGCTTTCGTCGTTGTCGTCGTCAACCGTCGCAACCGCTTAGTAGCCACCACGGCCGCGGCCTCCACCACGGGAGAAACCGCCGCCACCGCCGCGGGAGAAGCCACCGCCACCACCACCCCTCGAGAAGCCGCCGCTGCCACCGCGACCGCCGCCTCTGCTGAAACCACCACCGCCGCCGCGGGAGAAGCCACCACCACCACCGCGGGAGAAGCCGCCGCCGCCGCCGCGAGAGGAGAAGCCGCCACGGCCACCGCCGCGGGCACCGCCTCTGGGACCGCCACGACCACCACCAGCACCACCACGGCCAGCCTTCTTCACCTTGGGGGCGCCGAGAACCTTGGGCTTGGGAAGGAAACGCTCGAGAGGAAGGAGCTTCTCGGAACCGACGAAGACCTTATCGCCGGGCTTGAAGGAAGTAGCGACGATGCCGGTTTGGGGCTTAACAGTGAAGTAAACCTGAAGGAAGCAGAGTGTTAGCCTAAGGTCTTTATATTCGAGGGATTCGACGTTTCGGAGGGAAGTGCGCACCTGGTTGAGAGGACCGAGGACCTCATCGATCTTTCCGATGGGAGTCTTGTTCTCGAGGAAGACCTGAGCGTTGAAATGGGGGATCTTGGGGTTGGTGGACTTGTAGAACATCTCGCCCTCGACGGCGTGCTCGAAGGTGCCGAGCTCGAGAACCTGGGCGGGGGGACCATCGTCGCGCTGACCGAAACCACCACGGCCGCCTGTTGTAGGAGGGGTGTGTTAGTTATTACTGTCCATGGTGGAAGTATGTGTGATATGCGCCAATGGTTGACGGCAAAGTGCGACCAAGGCGACGACATCAAGGTACAAGATAACGGTTGATAATAGAATAATAAGGCGTACCTCTGAAGCCGCCACGACCACCGCGGTCACCACCACCTCCACGACCTCTGAAAGACATGATTTGTTGGTTGGGTTGGGTTGATATTATTGCAAGGGTGCGTCTTGCGTCTCCTCGCGCGTCAGTGAACTGTAGGACCGTCGGGTTCGGAGTGAGATGTTGACAATCGTCGTTTCGTCGGCGCAGACAATTGAAATTTTTCCGTGTTCCTGGGAGACTGAAGGACGAGGAATTTTTCCCGGCCGGCAATCCATTACAGACGTCCACCGCACCACCCCACCGTGGCCAGCCCACTTTCAGACGGTTCCTGGCGGCGCATTGGCTCACCAGGAACTGTGGATCGACCGGGGCCAGCGGCCGGTGTGGACTGCGGGTCCGTGCCCAGGGCCTTGACAAACGCCAATGTGGGGATTTCAACATCACTTGCAGCCCTGTAACTTTGACAGGAAAATTTCAACTTCATCGCTTCAACATTCATTCTTTCAACATGGAGCTACAGCTATCCGTCTCATTACACGACGCCCTCAAGTTACCGTAATCGTATGGACATACTTGACCTTACCACCCTCAACCCGAATCTCATGACTATCCGGCATATTCCCCAGCGCATCAAACGAGCACAGCACATCAACCGACCCCATGACTTCATCAATGACATATCGACGATTCCCGTTGCGCTTCGAACTGCCTCCTCTCGGTAACTGACCACCACACGGTCTGGTATACTGCGATCCTTCGACGCGCTCACAGTCGGTACCCCACGGGATACTATCAGCCGCCTTCGCATCCGTCCACATGTCGAGATAAGCATCGCCCACCTTTCTCAGCAGCTCTCGACTTGGCCGATTCGCCGCCGTATCGATGACGCCCCAATTCTCCTTTTGGATGTACCCGAGCGTCTTTTGGGCGTTGAAGAAAAGGGAACCCGCGGTGGCGGCGATGGTGTCGATGGAGGAGATGACTGAGGTGTCGCCGTCGGCTGGATGACGGATCTGCGTTGCCGTGACGTACGGCTTGGAGTTGGAACCACTCCCCAGTGAGATGATCATGGTGTAGCTGGCGCAGGCAACGGTGTCGGCGGTTGATCGGTTGAGGCTGATGTTGTGCGACTGGCTGAGAACGCCGCGCTTGATGTCGGCTGCCTTGTTGTTCTCCTGGTAGGTGAAGTTGCTCGAGTCAAGTTTGAGGCCGTCGAGTTTGCCGGCGGAGAAGGCGGATACATAGCTGTTGGCTGCTGCTAGCAGACCCTCCCGGGTACACTCAGCGAACACAGAAGTGATGGATGCGAGGAAGTAGGCGATGGTCAACAAGACCATGTCTTGTGTGTTTCTGGACAGCATGATGATACAAAGGTAGGTGGTTGGCCGTGATAGAGTAGCTGCTTCCGGTACGGACAGCTCTGATCTATGCTGCTCGGGCTGAGTACTTAAGTACTCAATCTCATGAGCCGACAGACTCTGCCGATCGTTGATCCTTGACCCAGATTCATGAGCAGGTTTGCCGTGGATAAATGGAGGGCATTGATGAATTCTTGCGGGGAGCACTTTATCCCAGAGATGCCACTGGCTGTTCCCCTCTTACGATTTCCTGATATTAGGTGGCTTCAGGCATCGTATCCTGTTTCTAGCCTACCTACCATCACCGCAGTTCAGCATGTTTTCAACGCCATATCTTCACGGGTAGGTGAAAAGAAAGAAGGGATCGAGTCAATACAACCCTAACCCTTGCAATCAATTGGCTTCACAAGCCTCGGCATCTCTCTAGGGGTAGCTTTGTTAGCGGGGCGTTTCACCAAAAGTGAAAGCTCATCAAACTCGAATCTCACCACCATTCAACATCATCATCCCTTCAGTCAAGCGCGAAAATGACTGGCCCTCTACCTGGACAGAAGACCGTTTTGATCACTGGGTGAGTTCATCGCGCTGTTCACTCGATTTACGAGAGTGTCAACGATATGTCCTCTAGGCGTTTCACTCATCCATCCTCTGGATTCGTGATAGCAAATCGCTGACCATATCTTATCATTCCCATTATAGCTGCACGCCAGGCGGCATTGGTCATGCCCTCTGCCTCGAGTTTCACAAGCAAGGTATGTACCACCAACTACCCGTTCCCGGAGTTACACAAAATATCCCGCCCATTGCTTATCAGTTCTTATCACACAAAATACTAACACTCTTGAAGGCGTACATGTCATCGCCACGGCGCGTAACCCAGCCGTCTTGGCCGAGATGGCCGACATGGGCATGAGCACCCTCGCCCTCGACGTCACCAACCCTCAGAGCATCAAGACCTGCCACGAGGAGGTTGCCCAGATCACCGGCGGCAAGCTTGACATTCTCGTCAACAACGCGTACGTCCATCCCGTGCTGCCAGTATCCCATTTGTTTACTTCCCCCCTTCCCCCCGCCCCCCCCCCCAAAACCCATACTAACCCCCAACCCCCAGCGGCCGCACCCACACCCACCCCGCCACCGACATCGATCTCGACGACGTCCGCGAGACCTTCGAGACCAACGTCTTCGGCGTCATGGCCATGTGCCAAGCCTTCGCCGACCAGCTCATCGCCGCGAAGGGTCTGATCATCAACATCGCCTCGCTCGCCGCCATCACCCCCTACGTCTTTGGATCCGTCTACTGCGCCACCAAGGGCGCCGTGGTCTCCTACTCGCGCACTTTGCGGCTGGAACTCAAGCCCTTCGGTGTGCGCGTCATGACCACCATGACGGGAACCGTCCAGTCCCAAATCGCCTCCAAGACGCACCGCACCTTGCCGGAGAACAGCATCTACATGCGCGTCAAGGAGTTCTTTGAGCGCAGGTTGACGTTTTCGCAGAACAATGCTACTTTGAAGACAGAGGATTATGCGAGGAAGTTGGTGAAGAATGCGCTCAAGGGGGAGATGCCTCTGGGTCTGAGGAGCTGGTTTGGAAGGGCGGATTATTTCTGGGCGGGCGGGTGGGCGAGGCTTGTCTGGACGGGCACGTTCTTTGGCGATTGGTTGTTGGATTTGGTCATGTATCGCATGTTTAAGATGAATGTGTTGGAGAGGGTGTTGGCGCAGGAGGAGGCGCAGAAGAAGTTGAACTGAGCCGTAGGCAGGATGATGATGAAGTGGATGTGCTACTTTGGTTGGCTTATGGACGGTGGCTGGAGAGCTGTACAAGGCGCATTGGGTACCTACCAATGGGCGAGTGCTCAGTCTGGCCCGTGGTGGGTGGGCTGACTCGGTGTAACAACGATATCTGTCGCAGACGTGTATAAGTACATGCCAGGCTGTGGGAACTTTTGTCCCATCATGTATTCCACGACTCGAGACGAAGTCTTGATCAAGTTTTGTTTTCAGTCTTCCAACGGCCTAGCACCTGCCATACGCAACAATAACCACAAGCATGTCAGACAATTCACAAGACAGCAGTCTGTCCACGGCTGCAAACATCATCGGCCTCATCACCTTTGCTCTTTCGGCCATTAACCTCTTGATAGTTCGGATTCTTCAGCGCGAAAGATTGATGTTCGAGGAGCGAAGGATCACAAAGTGGATGGAGTCTGCGCGCCTCCTTCATTTGAAATCGGCGTATTTCAATTTGTTCGATGCGAGGGGCATTCTCAGAGGAAAACGAGTAGTGGCTGAAACTCTCCCAAGCTCGCATGAAGACTCAGTGGACAGAATATTGGAGGATGTCGACCAATGTTACGGCAGGCCCAAGCAGATTGTCCAAAAAATGCCGGATTATGACTTCCCTCCCTCTCTGGGACTTCACATACAAACAATGATTGTAATCTTATTGTCTGGTGAGTTCAAGGGCTTCTGCGATATGTTGGTGACAGACTGGAGACGTTTCTTCCAGGCAAAAATATGGCGCGAAAAGAAGAAGACATTCGAGGAGAACTACAAAGAGTGTAAGTTCAGACTATCCGGCTTACACTGCTCACTCACGAATGAAAGCTTTTCACACTTGTGCTCATTCCAAGCAATTGACAGTTTGATAACCTGGTGAAAAGTCTCGGCGATCGTCGCCCAGCTTGACTCCTACGTCCTTCTGATCCAAGGATTAAACATCGTCCATCTCCAAGAGTAGGCACCCACCTACTCTCCAAAGCTTTGTTGCGCATACATACCCTCACATGAGGCTTTCAGCAACCCCAACCACCAAACGACCAGAATTCTCGAGTTGGAGCCGACCATTCAGTCTCTCGCAACCACTACGCCTAGCGCCTCACCGTCCTAAGCCGCCGCTCATGTTCGGTCAATTTATCATCAACAACGACCAAACAGCCTACCGACCCAATGTCAAAACCCGCCTCATAGCATCGACAAATGTCCGCCATCTCGATTTTCTCTCCCCTTTCGGTTCATGTTCCTTCCGCTTCACAGCCATTATCCTCACCCCACCTCGCTTACGCTGCTGATGCCTCTTCTTCTTCATGCGTATATCATTCATCAACCCTCGAGGTTGACTCTTCGCCTCACCTCTAAGCCTTTTGAACTCTCTCATATTTTCCTGGTCTCCCTGCTCACCCCCATCCTCTCCGTCCCCCTCCACCTCTCCCACCAAGCCCACCCCCGAATCCACCGGCGACTCCCGTTTGGGCGACTCCGGCGGCTCCCTATCCCTATCCTTACCACCCGCATTCCGATTCAGCTCCATCTCCATCTCCATAGGCGACCTAATATCCCGCCTCAATCCATCCGGGTCCGTCACAACCGGCGCGTGTCCTCGAAATGTCCCGTTAGGTGGGTTGGGCACCTCTCGGTAGTTTCCACCGAGAATACCCACTTTCTTCACGCCGGCCTCTTTCTTCAAGTAGTCCGGGTCGACAATCTTGAACTTGAGCGTCACGGTGCATTCGTCGATCCATTCGGGGCCTGGGTGCTTGTCCGTGTGGACGATTTGCTCGATCAGGCCGCCGGTTCCGACGACCATTTGGTGCGGGAGCATGTCCTCTTCGGGGTCGGAGTGGATGCTTTCTTGGTCGCTGGGGGTTTTTGGTGCTCCTTCTTGTTCTGGTGGTGGTGATGGACGGACTGAACAAAGAACGGGCTCCGGAGGGCTAGGGTAAGATGATCGAAGGGACCTGAAGTAGGGGGCAGCGGAACCGGTAAAGTCGTTATATCCGTGGGTGGGTGCCTGATAAGGGGCCTGTGGTGCTGGTAGTGATGGTGGTGATGGTGGTGATGGTGGTGAGCTCAGTGAACCGAGGACGGGCTCCGGGGAGCTAGGGTAGGATGCTTGGGGAGGACTGGGTCGGGATAGGAACTCGGATAGTAGCGGCGGTGTTGGTGCCATATAGTCGTAGTAAATGTGGTCGATATGATCTGCGTCAACCAAAGAAGTTGCTTGACTGATTTGTTGTGGCGGTGATGGTGGGCTACTTGGACGGTCGCCGCTGGATAAAGGGGTAACGAGCTCCGTGGGTGCAGTTTGAGATGCTTGGGGTTGGTAGGTTGGTATCACCGGTGGTGGTATGGCCTGTTCGAATATTGTTGGTGGAACCAGGTCATCGTAAGCAATTTCGTGAGAGGTTGTTAGTAGCGGCGGCGGCGGCGGTAGTAGCATGCCATAGCCGTAGGGGGTTGACGGACCTGTATCGTTGAAAGCAGGTTCTTGAAAGGTTGTTTGCAGTGCTGGCATCCACATGGAAGCTGAGTATGGGGCAGAGGAAGCGATATATTGACAAGTAGTTGCTTGATAAGCTGGCTGTGGTGGTGATTGCGCGGGCTGTGGCATGATACCGGAATCTGAGGCAGACCGTTCCCCGTCCAGAGTCATGTAAATCGGCCGCCAACGTTGACGCGGACGCCGGGAAGTGATTTCAATCTCTACTTCTTTCTTGATGTTGTTATTCAGAAGCTGGTATCGGAGAGACAGTCTGCAGAGGGTCACAAGTCAGACGAGAACTCGGATCCGGAGTGTGACGGGCAATGGTACATAGAGGTACCTTTCTCTTCCACGACGGAAAACACGGAACTGACGCGCAGTATCCTTGCTGACTTGCTTCCCCCATACCCATTTCTGCTCGGAGATGACAAAGTAGTCCTGACTCTTTTCCCCATGTGTGGTGTGCTGGAGAACATTGACACCACCCACTCTCACTTTCACCTTGAAGGCGGACTCTTTGGAGTTCCCAACCATGCGGATTGCAAATGCTTTGTCATCTGTAAGATAAGTTTTCTTTAGCATATTGCCTACCTAAAGAATGATCCTTGTGGGAGTCAATCGACTAAGATGACGTACCTTTGATGACAAGGAAGTGGCTACCACTCTTCTTTACACCTTTGGTACTACCCTCCGTTGGAGGACCATAGATTGTGAAGGGAAAAAAGGGTCCTGAAGAGTCTTCTTTGGTTTCGTTGATGTCCACGAGCGGCTTTCTAACGCGTTGAAAGCGACGTTCTGCATTGTCGTTCACTCTGGGGACTTCGCAGAAGGCGATTGTGAAAGTGTCCGTTCCCGAAGAGACGGTGATCGACTGGTCATCACTTCGAGTTAATTCGATCGTCTTGTCGCCAGTCATATTCTTTTTTGACGGTGGATGATGCACATGAGGAGTTTGACCGTTACCAAGCAATGATGGATCAGCTTGGGGGTATCCTGGGGATTCTAAAGTCCATATAGGGGCCCCTCATATATGGGCCGCCCATAGCTGAGCCTTGTTGATGGTCACACCGCGGAGATGGGTGGTACACATCATAGCTGAGCCACTCACTCGCGTAGTACCGATCGAGGCTGATATGCATGGTACTCCTGTCGTACACACATCCTAAAAAGAAGAGGCAAAGCAGTGGGAAGATTGTGTTAATTGGATGCTTGTCGGGGAGAAGAATCCGGGTGAGGGAGATAACCCCGCAGTCTAGAATAAAAACAGGAAGGACTATGGTAGTGGTGGGGGACGACTGCCACACATCCATTACACAGCCATTCGATCGGCGAGCGTGGAAGGAAGCAGCCACCAATGGCGATACCACTCAGTCCACCATGACATTGTGGCTTGAAATGCTCCATTGAATGCCTCCAGCTGAGGGTGTCCGAGGAGAGTGTCCATGCACATGTCAACCGAATTTGGACGCTGACAGTCTACTTTGGCGTTTTCCATGATCTTCGTTGTCTGAGCATTTCGTGATTTGCACACCACCTGAAATACTAGACCCCTCGTTTCCGTCGCACTTCCGCGGCTCTTGCGGTCTTCGAAACTTTCCACCAGGCTTGGCCGTAGAATGCTTATCTTCTCAGCCCTGCCGAACCCGCCGAAATCTCAATCAAGGCTTCATCTTTACCAGAAAGCAAAATGTCCGATGACAAAGGCGACAGCCCTTTGTCCACTCTCAGCAATGTCGTTGGCCTGTTGACATTCACTCTTGGACTTCTCACACTCGTTGTTACCTTCCTTTCTATCACACACAGCGCGGACAGGGAGATCGAGGATATCCAAGAGAAGCTGCAAGCGAGAGAATGCCACATCAGTCAGATAGAAGACCACTTTAACAAGCTCGAGAACGAGGCGCACTCGGACTGGGAAGGTAGTAAGATTAGGAGCAACTTTTTGATGACCCTCAACAAAATTAAGGACTATCATCTAAAAGCAACAGTTGAGCTCGAGAAAAACAGCAAAAAGCACCACTGGTGGTGGTATAATCGGCCTGACGGTAACCTACCCTTGAGCTACCTTACCTTCTTCTCTCCACGGGACGAATTGCTGATCGAAGCTTGCAGTAATGGGTGCCGTGGCTGCGATCGAGACACAATTTCAACACCTAAACACCATCCAGTTAACTTTCCTCCTCATGTACTTATTCCCGTCCACCATTGACATCAGATAAGATCCCGTACTGACTGGTCACGCTCAGCACCACGAGAAGCCAAGAAGACAACATCAACGAGATCGAAGCAACCCTCAATAAAGTGAAGCAAGCACTGAGGTCCGACAATCCCAGCAGTAACCTTTCTTTGGCCCAAGACTGACATATCTGCCATCCAGAAAACTCTCAGACTCTGACTGAACCACAACAAGCACTCCCCTTCCACGCGGTCCCCAACAGCAATCACTCTTCATCACACCTCCCCAATTCCCAACTCCCAACTCCCAACTCCCACCTCCCACCTCCCACCTCAACCACGGCAAAAACCTACACCCTCCTCCCCTCACAAACCAAAAAAGGAAACTCCACCACCGGCCCCCTCTCCATATCCCCCTTCCCCGGCTCACTCTCCACCCTTTTCTGCATTACAAACCCCCTCTCAACCTTCACCTCCTCAAACCCCACCCCCTTTAGCACCCCCTCCATTTCCTCCTTGGTAATCCCATGCCTCTCCACCCCTTCCATCTTGGCCTCGGGATGAAACCTCCTCGCTTCTGGTCCAAAGTTCTCGAAGTCTGTCGTTATCACCCTTCCGCCCCCCTTTTGGTGGCCATGAGTGGAGGAGGGTTTGAGAGTGCCGTAAATGGTTTTGAAGAGGGCAGAGAGGTCAGCGACGTGGTGCAGCACCAAATGACTAATAACCAAATCGAACTTCATGTTCCCGTCCCATGCTTCGCCAGTTACGGGATCGATTTTGATGATAGGGTCCTCCGGGTCTTCCAACAGACAAGCAACCGGCCGAACATTTTTTATTTGGGCATGAGACCCGACAGACGATAACTTGTGAGTGAGCACGTCGATCATTCCCTCGGCGGCGTCAACGGCTGTGAGGGAGCGGACGTGCGGGGCCAAGAGGAGGGAGAGGAGACCGGTGCCGCAGCCGATTTCGAGGACGTTGAAGGACGAAAGCTCGGAGGGGGGAGGCAAGCGGGAGAGGTACGATTCGAAGGCTAGGGAGGTGGCGAGTTGGATGGAGGGGTTGGAGTCCCAGTTGGCGGCGTCGGTGTTGAAGCGGGCGTTGCCGGTGCCGGTGGTGGGGGTTGGGTCTGTGGCTGTGGTTTGGGATGCCATCTTGCAAGGCCAAAGGTTTGTGATTTAGGTAACTTCGGAGGTGAAATTGGAGTCAAGGTTGCGGTTGAGTCTGAGTCCAACTATGAGAATCTTGCTGAAATGTTGATGAGTCGTCGAAATAATGTAAAAGGAGGGGAAGTTGGAGAAGGGGGATAATACTATTATGTAAGCAACTATTGGGTAGCATGTAGCTAGCGCACTTAACCCTCTCTCCTGCCTCCATCGATGAAAGTTTCCTAAAAGAAATGTCGTGGGGAGGCGTTTGTTTTCGGCTTTGAAGATGCTGAACAGTACCATAGTCTGAAGCCCAGGCACTAAATAGGTGATGCCATGATCTATAAGATGGCGTGACCCGCGATCCTCTGTACGGTATGGTTGGCCGGTAGCAGTCCACAGGAGGCAGCTGTACCTAAGAAAAAAAACATGATCATTATCATCGTCGTATTAAGAAACGCCGAAAACGCAAGTTCATACAGGTAACAACCCGATCGGGTGTACCCCTTGCTGCCTCATGGTAACGCAATACAGGTAAAAGGATCATCAGCCTTTCAAGGACACCACTCCACCAGCGTCCACACATCACCATTTCTTTCTTGGACCATGTTCCCAACTTCCATCTTTCCTGGGTCTCCCACACCGATCACATCAGCAATAAGCCCCTTTGAAAACTCCAGCTCTTGACCAGGCCAGCTAAGAGTGGGATTGAATCTCCCAGCCTCAATATCCAATTTCTCCCTCTCCTCGCCACCCACATACCCCCTAACCCTCGCCTCCAACCTCCATCTAGTCCGTTCATCCTCACCACCCACCCACCTCCACCTCTCGCACAACAGCTCATTCCCCCGTCTCAAAATTCCCTGTGTCCATCTCCCAACCCTCACGACCCTCCCCTCCGCACCTCTATTCTCCGCCTCGTTATCCAGCTCCCAAACGACACATTTTACATACGGAGGCTCCGCCACCCCTTCCTCATCCGGTCCCCAAACCTCTTCATACTCCTCCTCCCTCCCCGTCTCGGGGTTAACCATCCTCCCCTTTTCCAACGTAAGCTTCTCGTTGTGCTCGCCAGGAATCCGGTACATATCGCCTTCATCAGCCACTTCCTCCCCCGCCCCCTCCCCAGTATAAACAACCCTAGAATCAACCCAATGCGTCCACCTCCCCCTCTGATACGGCTGTTTTCCCTGCTTCAAGTCCGCCACACTCCCATTAACCGTGCGCCCATCAGGCAGAATCAGTTTCTGCCCGTAGTACCCGATGGTAGGGCGGGTGGGGGTGTGCGTGGAGGTGCCGGCTATGGCCCAGTCCAGGCGGGAGAGGGTGAGGGTTTTGACTTCTTCGGCTTCGGTTTCGGATGCGGGTTGGGGTTGGGGACTAAAAACGGAGGTGTGATCGGGGGAGGAAGGGTCTTCTTTCAGGATGCGCAGGTCGACGAAGCGGCCGCCGGGAGAGGTGAGGACGATTGTTGAGGTTGGCTCCGAAGGTGGGGGAGTGTCGCTGCTGGAAGAGGAGGAGGTGGTGGAGAACCAGCGGATGGAGTGGCGGATTGAGACGTCGCCTCTCTTTTGCTCGGATGCCATGGTTGTGGTGTTCCTTTTCTGTGATGAGCTTTTGATGTTCAGGATCCCGATTGAGAGCGTTTGTAGAGTGGAAGATACCTACTTTGAGATGTTTGGTATAGGTTGATGGCATGGGGTGAGATGCGTGAGGGGTTGCGGGCTGATCCCTCCGATATGCGGCGCTAACCGGCCTTCGCTATCGCACCGTCATTTACCCTAACCCTCGTTATGATTGTTTACCAAGCCCCTGAAAACAAGTACTTCAAGAGCTTGTAAGCGTTGTGTTACAAGATAATGCCTGCGGGAAAGAAGAGAAGGTGTGCCACATACCAAAAAAGGTCACTTTTGCTTTGGCATGTCCAGAATGGCCAATACCAAGCGTGAATCAACAAAAATGCAAGAGTGACTGCAGGGTAAAGAAGGATAATTTTGAAGACAACGACAGGCTTACATCTAAGTCTCATACAACATCACACAGCATCTAGCACATTACATCTCTATCGTCATCAAACGCTCATGCAAGGACAAAAAGAAAAAAGCAACGAACTTTGACCAAACAGAGAACGCTCCTCCTCCATTCATCACCTTCCACCCGCTGCCCCAGATCCCGGTCGGTTGGGATCTACCGGTGTCGCTGACACCTCAAACGGATCAACTGGTGACCAAGGGGCGTCATTGACTGAGTGATGAATGGGTCCCTTTGGTGCCGTTCCAGCAACCTCATACGCCGAACGCTGAGTAGGCAACTCGGGCGTCGTATGGGCACCAAGGACGTGAACCCCGTGTACCTCGCTGTGTTCAGGCAGCTCAGGGATCGTGTTGGCACCAGGGGCATATACTTCGTGGATCTCATGGTGCATGGGCAACTCGGGCGTGACCTTGTTGTCGTCAAGTTGGGAGACGGAGTACACGCCAACCGTATAAGGCTTATAATCCCCTGGAGCCTCATGCATTGGGTGATCTGCGTAGCCTGGCTGAGGCGTTTGAGCGGCTGAGGAACCAGGGGCTCTGGAAGCTGCCGCCATTCCCACAAGTGACCTCGTGGGGTCAGCAGCTGAATCACTGTCATGGCCGCCCTCAGCAGAAGCTTCGGCGGAAGCTTTCTTTTGGCGATTCCTCCGGAATAACCACCCTATCGGGAAGAAAAGCACGAACATCATCACACCAACAACAGTGCCAGCAACTGTTCCTTTACCCATCGCTGGCTTATCCGTGCCCTCGTGTGTCTCTCCCGTGTTGCTCAAAGTCTCAGTGGTGAGCGATCCCGAAACCGTCCTCGTAACAGTGACCAGGTCGGGGTTGCTGCGGCTGGCGGAAGCGGAACCGGATGTAGAGTCGGAGTTGGCCGAAGTGGTGGTAGTAGTGGCAGACTCGTCCCGATCTGAAGCCTTCCAGTTGATCTGGACCATGCCTGCATACAGGTTCGGCTTCTGAGATGGGAATGTCATGGTGCCAAAATCCGTCAACTGTCCGTTGATGCACTTTGCGGTAGGCTGTTCCATGGACAAGGTGCCCCATCTGAGAACACACGTTTGGCCCTCGCTTCCGAGGTCACCGCACCGGAACCCAGTCGGGCAGCACCCAATAGCGGTCTCGCCATCTTGAAGCGGATATTGCGCCTTCCACCCGGTTGACGTGACGCCATCCACGGCGCTCGCCGTGCAGGCTGATGTGTATCCTTCTGGGCAGAACAAACCCGGGGAATAGAAACCTCTTTGTGTTCCCGGCCAACAGTCTGTGTTGTCCGTTATCGATTGCCCATCATCCACGCACAACTGACCCCTCCATCCGAGCTTGTTGTCTGCGAAGATCGCGGTGGAGCATGCTGCAGGCGCGGTGAAGACCGTGGTGAGAGGCCCGAGATTGACTCTATCCGCCAAGGCCATCGTGCCGTAGGTGTTATTGTGAAAGCTTCGGTGTGTTTATTGAACGGCCGTCGTCTCTTCGTCGTGGTGTCTTGGCTTTCCGACCTGGCGTAGAATTTGAATCCCAACCGATAAACCGCGGTGATCACCAAGGCAATGTTATCCTCCTGGATTCGGGTGGTAATCCAAGCTGTTTGGTGAGGTCGGGTATGGTAACGGGGACGATCAGGTCACACAACCCTTCAACGTGATTTTTGATACCCAAGAAAGAGGAAGGTAGAACAAAAGAAGCGCGGAGCCCATCAGAAGATTGTAGGGCGGCAGACCGTGACCTTATCGTTTCTTTCCTAGCGTCTTCATCAGGGGTGTTGTCAGCCCTAGCAAACTTACCCCGGCCGGGTCGTCTAAGGCCCCCAATCAGCGACGCCAACTTTGCGGAGGAAGAAGCGCGCCATGTTACACTAAAGGAGGAGATGGTGTCAACCATAGCGGGACTGAGCGTGCTTGGCAATTGTGGCTGGCACTGCAAACAGGGCTGGGGACGAGATTTCGGGGATTGCTCCAGACCTTCACCCACAATCCCGACCCAGGCGCACATGCCCCTTTTCATAGGTAGCCGTACGCTGTCAAAGACTCGAGGGGTTCCATCCCACCATGGCATTCTTGCTTCGCGGTGCAATGGCACTGATTCCTACCTTGGCGGCGGTGGTTTCGTTTGTGTCTCTGGAAGCGGTTTCAGATCTCAACGTCGATGTCGCGGAGGCTGAGCTGGATGGAGGAGATCAACGGTGGCTTCCAGTGGATCGGTGATCTGCAATCAAGTCAGAAAGATGGAGTTGGGTTCTGTGCGGTTAAACGAAGCTTGAAAGAAGGGAGGGTTACCTGGATGTGCAGGCGACCATAGTGTTGTGAGAATATGTTACTCTTGTTGCGAAGCTGAGTCTGGAATTTCAAGACTTTGCCGATCGTCGAGGTATGGCGCTGCGGTTCCTGATCAAACGGTGGATGGAAAAAAAAACTCCTCGACGGTGGTCTGAGAACAACTCCCCATCGGGGAGGACTTGCCCGTGTTTCGAGTTGTGGCTTCCACTCCGTGACTCCAATGTGCTCCGGCTTGGAGGCACCTGCCGTCTACAACCAGTCTTCCCAGTGAACCTTCCCTTCCTTTCAAGTAAGGGTCGAACTCGGGCCCGACAGATAAGAGAGCACAACCATGGGGAAGGCACGAAGGATGCTCGTCCAACACCAAGTCGAGGTGCTGGATCTGGACAAACTTCTCTTCTACACCTCCATCCATCATCTCTGAATCCCTACTCTTGTCTTTACCACGATTATTGTCCCCAAACATCCTATAAAACCCGCCACTTTGCCCGAACATCGATAGGTCGACCATTTATCAATACCTTTTAGTACCTCTGATCTCTCCTCCTAGGCCCATACCTGTATGTCCCAGAGCCAAGAACCCTCTCATGGCCCTTCTCGCTGACCTCCGAGTCTAGCTATTTGCCATCTAACCGATCATGACCCAGTCCGCTCGCATCTTGCAAAGAGAAACCGAAGTGCTTACCCTCCTCGAAGAAGAACAACTCCGCAAGCGCGTCATGTTCCTTCGCTCCCAATCTCGCACTCCTCGTCGCTCTCCTCCTCTACAGAGACGGCCCTCAGACACTGAGCCTCTCGTCATCGCCTCTGGTTCCGGCACGCAGAACCACACAGGCACCAACAGCGCTGCTCGCACCAGCCTCATGAAGAACCTCAACCTCAACAACAACAACTCCTGCCACTACTCTGACGACGACGGCGACTACGACCAGCAGCAATCCTCCTCTTCCTGTCCAAACAACATGGACCACAAACACCATAACAGCCTCTTGAACAGCAACAGCAACAAACTCTCCCACAAACACTCAACAACCTCCACATTCGATACCTACTCCACGGCCCCCACGGCCCCCGTTGCCTCCTCCAGCAGAGTAAACATAACCAACCCCTTCGAAAACCCCTCCCACATCGTCGAACCCTCACCCTCCGGTTCTTCCACCCCCTCCACCATCCCCTCCGATTCATCTTCTCCCCAACCCCACCACCCCCTCTACCGAACCACTAACGCCCCTTCCGCCTCTCATCCTCACCCCCTCTCCGCTAGTGGTAGCCACGGCTTAGACGGCACGGTCACCGCCAACGCCGGTTTCACTGCCGGGACGACCAACCATGGCCTGCCGATTCCGGGAGTAACCAACAAGCGAGTCCACACCTCCACGACGATCTCTTCCAAGAGGTCGGGCAGGTCGACTTCTTCCAAACTCTCGAGGAGGGTGAAGAAGTTCCCACGGGCGGCGAGGAGGGCCGTCAAGAGGTTTCTGAGACGGGTGACGGGGAGGAGCCGGAAGAAGGAGAAGATGAAGGTTACTTGGACTGCGCCGCAGGTTTGAGCTGATGGGGGGTTAAGTAGTAGGAATGAGGGAGATGGGAAGAGGTGTGGGTAGTGTACTGAGGGGTGTGGGTTATTGGTAGGGGGATGTTGATGTTTGCTGCCCTGGTGGAATAAGTTCGTCGATTCGAGTGGGAGATGAACTGTGGAGATGTCTGGAAAGTATGGAATTTGACGATGGTACTTTGTTTGTGGCTTGTGGGAGACGCAAAAAAGGGTTTGGTGTTGATCAGTATTGTCGTCCTGGGGAGGTATCTGTGCCTGTAAGGTCTATCATGTTTTGGTGCTTTTGTACGGCGATGGTGTCTACGAAGAAGCAAATGGTTAGTGCATGAATCAGGATGGTAAAGAAGGAGGAAGGGAAACATATAACCTGTTTGGAAGTATAGACAAAATAGAATGATACCCTTAAAGCCCCATTGGTAAAAGCAAATGTCAAACAAACTAGCAGAAAATCACCATAACGAGAAAAAGAAGAGAACGGGAAACCGCTTGCTGATCAAGACATTGCAACAATGCCCAGCTTTGTATTCCCTTTTCCTCCACCACCTCCAGCGCTTTCCGATATCCTATCCTAGCTCCCTTCGACGCGCTCGCTCGCATTACCAAATTGGACATTACTACTAGTATAGTACACAGATTTTGTTAGACCCCAACCTCCCAGCCTCTAAAAACCAATCGACTATTCGAGATAAAACCCCAGAGCTGAAAAAAAGTGTGTGGATATCAAGACATGAGACTCAGAAAGAGGAAAATATGAAAGAAGAAATAGGAGGGCATGCATGATATATGTGAGAATGAGTGCTGACGTTGCGTGACAGTCGTTTGATGATATCAAAGAAAGAGAACGAAAAAAAAAAAAAGAAAAAAAGAAAAAAAAAGATGAGATGGAAGGGAAAGGGAAAGCCGTTAATGCAAAAATCTCGCCCAGCCCACAAGCCCAGGGCAACCATACCATGCCATCAAGGCATCAAGGTAGTAAACCAAAAGAGAAGACCGTACCCAAAAACAGCATGAGACAGATATGATTGCTGCCGGCTCACTCATTCCTTCCCACTCCCTCCCCCGCCCCCCAACCCAAAACTCATCCCCATACTCATCCCCAACCGATCCATCGTGCCCCTCCTATGCCCGTGCCCGTGCCCGTGCTTCCCATTCACATCCCCTTTCCCCGTCCCCGTCGCTCCCCCCCTCTCACTCAACACCCCCGGATTCTGCCCCGTCACCCGGCCCCACTCCTCCCACTCCCTACTCACCTCCATCAACACTCCCGCCATGACCTGCGCGCTAGCCATCAACCCGTGTCCTTCGCCCTCTAGGATCCGGACCTCGCACCGCCTCATCATTTTGCCTAGCCATTTCACGTTTTCGACAGGGACCCGCGTGTCGCGACTGCCGTGGTGGATCACCACCGGACGGGTGATGTCCACGTAGCGAAAGCCGATGGTGTGGCGCCGCTCTAAGCAGACTAAGAGGTCGACGGCCGGGTTGGCGCCTGTGGTTGCTAACTGCCAGATGGCGTGCGTCAGGCGGTGGTCGTATTGTTGTTGGCGTTCGCGCTCGAGTACCGCCAAAGCGGCGGCGATTTCGGAGTCGGAGAGGCCGGAGGTGGAGTGGCGAGAGGGGTTTTCGTCGATGCCGGCTAGGTTGGTAGATTTGGAGCGGGAGTGGCGGTGGCGGTGGCCGTTGCCGCTGCCGCTGCCGCCCCCGATGCCCTTGTTGCTGTTGGTTATGGTGGGGCGGATGCGGTCCATGTCTTCATCTGCGCCGGTTGGTTCAGTACTGATGATGCCGGAGGAAGTGGCGGGGCGATCGGAGTCTTTGTTTTCGATTATGCCCAACGAAGAATATTTGTCTTTCTTCTTGTCGCGCTTGGCGCGTTTTTGTTTGGGTAGGGAGGAGGTGATGCTTGAGCTGGTGGCTTGCATGAAGTTACTGTTGGCGACTTTGAGGATGGGTGTTGGTAGGGCCCTGAGAATTTTCTGGCTGGTAGGGATGGCGTTGGTGGGTGGTAAGGGGTTTTGAGAACCGCCTCCGATGACATTTATTTGGGATGGAGGAATCCAAGGCGCAAGTAGATGGATCTTTCCTCTGATGTGTTGAGGCATGCGTAGCGCGGTCGCTAAGGCGTAGATGGCGCCAGCGGAGTGGGCGAGAATCGAGAATTTTGTGATTTTGAGGGCTTGACATATCGCATAGACGTCGTCTGTCGAAAATTAGCATTTGACACTCGAACACCATAAGAGAGAAACATACCAGGCCAGCTCAAAGGCGTGGTATTGTCATCACTATACGGCTCACTATCGCCCACTCCAGGTCTGTCAGGGGTAATCATCCGGAGCTTCAACGTCAAAGCCAGCTCGTCGTAAAACCCCGTAATGTACCTCGTCAGACCCATGCCCACACAGCAAAAGACAGCGCTCCCGTTAGGATCGCCCACTTCGCTGAAGCTGATTACGCGACCTGTCTGCGGGTGTCGGATCTTTTGGCTCAGTCGGGGACTACATAGGTAAGCCTCAACCGAGTCATCGATGCTGTCTGCGCTCCTTGGCCTTTCGTATGTAACATGTGGTCCGATTCCCTCTGTCGAAGAAGATTTGTCAGGATTTCCAGGTTTTTTGGAGCTGGAGAGTCGTTTAAGCTTACTGCTAGCTCGCTTGTTTTTCACATCCAGATTCCCGTTACTATCACCGTTACCGACCAAAGAGTCTGGGTTCAGAAAGGCTGATCTTCGTTTCGATTTTGGGTCCGCATCGCGATCCTGGGGGCGTGACTGGGCGATAGCGGGAGAGGGCGCAACATCGTCGGTTTCGGATTCTGGGAACATGTTGATTGTAGGTGAGGATAATGCTGGTTTCATACGTAAGTCTGCAGAAAGGCGTAAGGGGTCCAACATTTTCCTTTCGCGTCGTTTCGGTTTCTCGGTTCGTGCCTCGGGGGGTTCGCTGGGATACTCTTCGAGTTCGTGGATGGTGTCGTCTGCGCCCGTTTCGCTATTCCGTCTTGACATGCGCGACGCCCTGGTAGACGACCGCTTAGGGTTCTGTGACCTCCTTAACGATGACTCCCTGGTTGGAATACCTGGCGGGGAGCTCCCAAAGCCGCTTGGAGGTTCCCAATCTGTCGATAGCTTGGGCGTAGAAGGAATATCGCTGCCTGGTTCCTCGCTGATGATGCTCTCTACCGAAAACGGATCAAGACGGGGTGTCGAGCTGCCGCTTGTTGTGCCCGTTCCAACCAGTCCTATTGTTGTTGAACTTGCAACCAGTGCCGAGATACCAATAACGCTCGCCCTCTTATTCTTCTCAACTTCTTGTTCGCGCAATTTCTCCTTGCTGCTCATGTACATCAACCCGCGCTGACTGCGACCTGCTGTCCTCCAATTCCAACTATCGGCGGATTTCTGTCGGCGCAATGGTTTTGGGTCGGTCCCAACGGGAGAAACCGGTTCGCTTCCTCGTTCGATGCTCAACCTGCCGATGCTTTCGCTTGCGGATGCAAGGGAGGCCTTGCTCGACGATCGCGACAGGGCGCTGCTGCTACCGCGCGAGAGCAAGCTCCTGAGACCGGAGGGTTCGCGAGAGTGTGCCGGGCTCTTTGGTGATTTTGGGCCCTTGGAGGACACGGATATCTTGGATGTAGGGCGAGATCTGCCAGTCCGGACAACGGGAGGGCTTGCAGTTACGGGGGCATGTTCGTGCTGCCACTGACTGTCGGAGGGCTTGGAGTATGCGCCGTAGTCGACACCGAACGAACCGGGTTTGGACAGGTCGATGGGGCTGGATGGGCCTATGGGCTCGAGATAGAAGGACGACTCGAAATGGGTGCTCAGCGGGCGCGATATGGTTTCGAGGGATGTGATGAGGGACGAGATGACCTCAGGAGAGGCGGGTTGGATTGGCCGGTCGGGATCCCTGTCTCGGTTGGGGTTGGCGTTGTTGGCGCTGGCTGCTAAGCTGGCGGCGGACGCGTGGTCTATGTGGTCGGTGCGTCGGTCTTTGTCTTTTCGGTCGGGGGTCCGTACGGGGGTTCGGTTGGGATCTCTCTGCCGGTGGTTTTCCAATGTTTGCCTCCAAGTTTGTCCACTTGTCTTTTCAACTTTCTTGGTTTCGTCTTGCTGGTCAGAGAGGTTTCGAATGCGGTCTCGTTCGCGGGATCGTCGGGGGATAGGGGGTGCTTCTGCCAGGTAGGCAGCCGACTCGGACAAGTGCTGCTCCATTATTTACTGACGACGACGAGGATGGAGGATCCAAAGTTTGCTTATGGCGGGCGGCTGGGGACGTCTCCAACCTCTAACTTCTCCTAGCTGGGAAGCGGCAGTGTAACGAGTCGTGCGTATATTGGATTGTCTCAGAGTCGCTGTATGGTTCGTCGATCTTGGTAACAACTGCTTGGTAACAACCGGCTTTCTGGACCATGACCTTATCCCGCTGCAGGTCGCTGGGCTGCATAAGCAAGCAATCAACTTTGCGTCTGCAGGTACGTCCAAGCGATTGGGCTGAACCGATGAGGTGGGATGGAATGGCAAACTTTGTGTGGGATGATCAATCGAGATCGGGTCGTCGCAAGAGTCACAAGTCGATGTGTTGATGCTGTCGCCGTAGGGGTATTAGGTAAATAAGTATTAAGAGTTAGAATAGTGTTCCTAAAGGCAATTCGAAGCACCGAGTATCGTAGCGAGGTATGATATTAGGTTGTGGTAGTTGCGTCGATATGGTTTGTCGAACTAGGTGGCAGAGTGGGAGCGGGAGAGTTTTTCCTCCTCAGACCGTGACCATATCGATATCGACAGACGACGGACGATAGAAGGAGGTAAAAAAAAAAGTTTGGAAAAAGAATTGAGATTAGACACGGCAAGATCAGAAAAAAAAAGTGCCGGACTCCAAGTCTCCAACAAATCCCAAAAGAAGATCTGTTCGAGTCTCGCCGAATCTGAACAACGACCCCGGACACATGAACAAATCTATGAACCCTAATCCCGGACTGGTCGCTTCTTTCATTGTCACAACGGGAAAAAGAGCGAAAAGAGAAATGGGGTATTGGACGCAATTCGCGAAACCTGGGATGATGGCTGGGAGGGTGACAAGATGATCCAAGGTGGGATTGGTGCTTGTGACGTCCCCGTTGCAGTGCTGTGACCCTCCGAACCCTCCAATGCGCTCCAATGATTTTGAATGCCTTCGGTTCCAAGATTTCGAAGGTTGCTCCAGTTGCCCCAGTTGCTGCAGTCAGTGCTGCAATGCTGCTGCAGGTACCGCTAATACCTTAGCGCCGGTGATGGTGGGGACCTGGAAAAGCTTGTGCTTCCATTGTGGTGGTTGAAGACTTTGCCCAACTCAATTTCGGAACAAGGACATCAATCATCCATCCAACAGGATGAGCTGGACGGGATGGTGGGATTTGAAAGAAAAAAAAGGCAAGATGAGGATCTGTGACCTTCAAGGGAACGATGCTTGGAAACTGGAATGATTGGCGGCTTAGATTGACGGGAGTGATGGAAAGCGACTTGGAGACGGTGCGCACAGAGCTATTCACATGAAGTGGGAGTGCGTGCCGCAAGAAGCCGCAAAAGCAAAGAACATGAGGCCAAAGCTCCGATCTCCTATGCCCCGGAATGCCGGTCTGTTAGTGCTTCCCTCTTCACACAACCCAATTCCCTAACAGTCAACCATGGAAATTGGATCCACCGGGGAAGATTCCCGTCTGGGAAAGAAAGACGCAGGGACTTGTCGTCTAACGTCTTGCCTTATCTTAGCGCACCGCCCCGACCCCTCATCATTCTTTTTCAGTCTTTTTCCCTGGTGCAGTCCCTGTCTTTCTCCCTGCCCTGACTGATCCCTCCACTGAACCTCGTGCTGCCCCTAAATATTCCCTTTTTGGCCATGTCTAGAGGTACACTTTCGACCCAGCAACCTTCCCCCCCCCCCCCCTCGGATAGTCGGAATGCAACATCAAGGAACGAACGGTACTGTACGAGGTGTACAAGGCATGGCGAACAAAATGAGGTTGCAACCTCTTTTTTTACTCCTCTCGGTAGCCGGTAGGTACTTTTGACGTGGATGATTTTGACCTCCTAGGACTCTGGGAAAAGTGTTCGTACTGGGAGGAGGGAGGTCCAGCGAGCCGTCAATTGACCGTTCGATATTTCATGGACGGGACTTGGATTGTTCAAAACCGATAGACGTCCATTCTTTCCAACGTTGGGGGGTTTTAACGTATTGATCCTTCCTAACTGATATCGGACAGTCAATTGATAGTAAGAAGCTTTCGGACGTTTCCCATATTCATACAGTCATTTGACTGGACTTGGATTATCAGAGTGGCCTTGAACGTCTGGGGGTCTCGATCTGTCAATTGACCGGAAGCTGCACCCCCCTCCTCCCCGTACGGGACCCTGGGAAAATGTGGCTTGAGCTTTCAACCGGCAACCCATCACACCGGACCCGAACCCGCTCGTCCCAGACCCGACGCAAGGAAACGAAACGAAACGAAACGACCCAAAAAAGAACATGAAAGCTTCTGGAAGGGCGGTCGGGCGGGTGGAACGAATTTCCCGCCTCTGACTTCAGTTCCTTGTTGATATGACGGATGGTATGGTAGCCGTGTTATAAGGAGAATGGTACATGTAGGTCTGGAAGCAGTGTTTGTTCGTCCAACTCAACTGCTTTTTTGTACTCCAATACATACGAGATCACAAAAACGCCAGTGCCATTCATATTTTTGGGAACAGAACGAGGTTAGGTAGGGCACACACATCCATCCAGAACATCCATCCCAATTTTCCCACCTACTGTGGTACGTAACCTCGAACGGTAAAAAGCAACACCACCAACCAAAAAAGCAACAACTCGAAACGGGGAACCGAACCACGGAAACCATAGACAAATAGACCCATTTCCGTGCGCACATAATCCCCCCCATATTTATCGCTAAATTATCCGCCTAGCCGCGCCAGCACACCGCGTACAACTGAAGCCATATAATCGATACCTGCGCATCGCCAAATTTACGTCGTTAGCGTCATTTTGTTTACGTAAAATTATTTAGAATTATCAATCTAATTAATTATCTACTACTAAGGCAGTTAATACTATAATTACCAATAATACTACTATCCTCTATACTAACCCTATTACTATATATACTATACTTACCGCCCAGACCTAGAGTGTACGTACCTACCCTAATTTTAATACCCGCCGTATAAATACTACTTAAAATACTAAGGAGGCGGCTAAAGATTTGCCCTCCTACTCAAATCCCCCAACGCCTATCCTCCGCCCCATATAAGTATTAAAAGTAGTACTATAGCTATAAGGGTCTAATTATATTATATTACTAATATAATGTAGCACTATAAATTATATTATAATTAATTAGAAGGAGGAAGAGCGAAGTCTAAATCTCTAGGAAGTGCCTAAGTAATAATAAAATCAATTGGCCTAATACAATAATTTATAATACGAATTGCCAAAGCCTCCCTTACTTCTAGCTAAGTAAGTACATAACCCTCAAATTTAACCGTATTTAATACCTAATCCCTATACTAATTCTAATAACCGTCTAAATTAAGGATAGGAAATTTAAACGGCTACCTAATAAACGCTAGCTGTTATGAGGCTAGAGCCTAGGGGTTAAGCTTGGCTGATGCCAAGCTGTGTTCTGCATTATCGATAGGGATGCGAGCCTTCTGGTTGGCCAGACCCGTATAACTATCTAGCTTGTATGCTCTAAGCGACTTGCATAAAACCTTCTCTTGACTGCACTCTTCTGGTGTAGTCCTTCCTTTTCCTCTTTGTTAAATATAGTATTTCAACCTTATACGACTACTCGCTGTGCCTTACTCTTATAAACCCGTTATATTATATTTGACCCTCTTTTTTAATACTCCGTTGCATTTATTATTTTTTATAGGTACGCCTAAAGAGTCCCCTTTTCCATACTGCTCTCGTCTCTTTTAGCGATAGTACCCCTTCTTTTACGTTTCTTATATCGCTTCCCTTTCGCCGGCATGCTAGAAGAGTTTCTACCGCTCTTACGATCTTTAGCGATATTCTTTTCGTTCGATCTGCCCCGTTCGTTTGCGATTTACTTTAATTTTAGCCGCTGTTGCCCGGATTCCTATTTTTTTAATAACGGTACTACTTTAAGATTTCGAGCGTTTAAACCTCTATATAGATGGACTCGCCTTTTGCGATATAAGTTTATTGCTTGCTTTTCGCCCGTTGTTAAATATTTTGATAGTAATATTTTTCTTTTGGCCTTTACTTCTACCAGGTATACCCGGTTAAAAACGTTCAAAATATTGAATTAGCGTCGTGAAGAAAATTTTGAGTTTTGCTTAAATAAAGAGATAGAGGAGGAGAGAGGGTAATAGTAGTAGTAGTTTTAGTCTAAGGAGCGATATTAGTTGTATAAGATGAAATTAATTTATTTCGACCCGGTGGGGGCTTAGACGGTTATGATGGCGATAATTTGGAAGAGGAGGTCTTATTAAGTAGTAGTTTTATTGGAGTTGTTAACTTCGATGGAGACGCTTTAATAAAATTACGGTGGAGAGAGGTTTATAAATTTATGAAGGAATGAGCTTTATAATTGTTTGAATATAGTATTTATTAGTTAGGGGTTAATTAATTTTACTGTATCCCTTTACGCGTATTTTTAGGAAAATCTATTATAATATATAATTGTAGGAGGGCGGTAGATATTATATTTCGTAGGTATAAGGATTGTTAAGTTATTTTTACGGCGGTGAATATAAGGTTCCTATTGGTAGGAGAAGTAGAGCGATACGAAGTATTAGGTAATAGCCTTATTTTAACTATCTCCAGCATTGATTATTAATATATTACAGTAGAAGAGAAGTCTTTAATAGGTAAGGTCTAGAAATGTCCCCTAATTTAATTTTGGTTCCTGTATATTAGGAATAGTTCTGTAAGGGTAGGTATTTGGTAGGGTACCGCTGATTCGAGTAGTGATTAGGTAGTTGTGTAGTGTTTGTTTGGGGGTTTAAATAGAGATATTTGTCTTAATATTATTAATTTCTTCCTCGTTTAAATAAGTATTTGGTTGGAAGCGGTTATTGATAAATTTTGTTAATTTTATATAATTGATTATATTTAATACTTTATATAGTAGATTGCCTTTTTTAAGGGGAAGTAGGGGGGTAATGTTATAGGGCTAGAGCTTAGGGGTTAAGTTTGGCTGATGCTAAGCCGT